AAACTTGGTTCAGGTACAAGGCTTTGGAGAAACACTTTTAGAAAGCTAGCAGGGCTTCAGTCAATGCTTGGGAGCAAGAATATGCCCTTTGCTTCTATACCCAATTTAAACTCCCTTCTCTGAAGTACACCAATTTAATTTCCTTTGTAATCACTTAGATCTTAAGGACTATAACTGATAGTGTCCCCTCTTGAATCCTCTGAATGAGCTTTTTTTTAACCAAATTTATTTTAAAAGAGCACTAGTAACTTAAAGACAAGAGGAAAGAATCCCAAAGGGGAAAAAATCAAAAGAAGCTGAAATTCAAATATGAAAGGTGGCAATTTTTAAAAAACACATCCAATAGTATTTGTTCCATGCACCAAAGTATTTATTCAAGCACTCGGACTCTGAACAAATTAACAAAATGAAAAGTCTCGAACATCCATTGGAAAGAAATACATCCCTCCAAGAAGAGACAAACGCAGATGACCAGGGACTCAGAAGCACAGCTTCGCAAGTGGCTGAAAGGTGAATTTCGGAATCTCTGGCCATGTAAAACTCCAGTCAGCGAGTCATTACAAAAGAAAGGAAGCAGCCAATTTCGGAGACTCTGGACAACCACCTTATGCTGCGCAATGAAAGAAATGGGGAGCGCTCTCTCCATCAGCGGTCTCTGGCTGGGGGATTCTGGGAGTTGAGGTCCTCCAGGCTTAAAGGGGCCGCGGTTGGAAGCCCCCGGAAGCCTGAGGTAAAAAGGGTCCCGGCTTCTGGTGTCAGCGAGCAGGAGAGGAAAAGGCGACCAGGGACTCCGAAGGGACCGACTTCTTGGGGGGCTTCTCCCCTTCGGGGGCCAGCAGGCAAAGGAGCCCACCCGGATTACCTCAGCCGGGTCCACCCAGGCAGCGGCTCCTCTTCCTTCGCTTCGGGGGGGGGGGGGGGGGGAAAGGGGGCCCCCCCCCCCCCCGGGCCCCGCCGCCGCCGCGCCCCCGCCGGGCCCCCCCCCGCCCGGGGGGGGGGGGGGGGGGGGGGGGGATGAAATGCTGCTCCCCCACCCCCAGTTCGCTAAGCCCGTCCCGGCCTTGAAAGGCCCCGAGGCGCTCCGGGGCTGCCCAGACTTACATTTCGGCGGCGAGGAGGGATAGTCGTCCTTGAACAGCATCCGTAGCTTGAACAGGCCGCCTTCCCACGGGGTCTGCGGGGGAAGCACAGCGCTTTGAGACGCCGCTTGCCGGGCTCTTTCCGCCTCAGCCGCGGACTTTCCCTCCCCCGGGAACCGCCTCCCGCCCCTCCCCCTCCCCCTCCCGGGAGCCTCCCAGGGCCGCGGGGGCGAGCGGACAAAAGGGACCGGCGGGCGGGCCGCTTCCTTACCCCTTTCTTGCCCGGAATCGCGCACTCCCAGTTCATGAGGTTCATGGTGCCGTCGGGGTTCTTGGTGGGCACCGCCACGAAGCCCTGCAAGGAGCCGGAGGTTAGCCGCGACGCCCGCCCGCCCCGCCGCCCTCGCCCGCCCGCCCCCGCCACTTACGAACGGGTGGTCCTTCCTCCAAGCCTTCCTCTCCTGCGCCAGGCGGCTGAGCGCGATCCCAGACATGGTCGACGGACTCTGCGACACACAAAGGCGGCCAGTGAACGTCGGGCGGCCTGCGGGGGACCCCGGGAGGGAAGGCCGAGCGCCGCCGGGCCCCGGCTGACCTTGAGAGGCGGCCGCGCGGGTCGCCCCCCCCCCCCCCGCAGCGGGCGCGATCCCCTCTGGGCCTTACCGTGAGGCGCCCCGGCGGCGGCGGCGGCGGCGGCGGCGGCAGCGGCAGCAACCCCCGCGCGTGTCCCGGATTCAGGCGGCGGCGGCGGCGGCGGCGAATGACCCGGATGTTCCCTGCCCGCCTCCCCCCCTTTTGTCTGAAACCCGGCCTTTCCCTCGCAGAAAACGGAGCGCGTCAGCACGGTCTGTCCCTCGGCGCGACCCGTCTGCGAGACAGCGCCTGCGCCGAGAGCGCGAAGCCGAACGCCGCAGCGCGGGATGCTTCTAGGCCACGCCTCCAGCTCCGGCAGACAGCGGCCAGAGGGCTGGAAGCCGGAAGGGGCGGGGTCGGTTCCGCGGCGTCTCCTGAACGCCACCCGGCAGGCCCCGCCCCCCGCGTCCCCCTCACTCCGCGGCCGGGCCTTGCGGGCCTTCGCTCCTCTCCGGCTGGCCGATTAGCCGCTCTCCGCCCGGGGCCGAGCCAGAGGCGGAGTCGCGATACGTCCGAGTGGCGGCTCTTAGCCACGGAGAGAGCCGGGGCCCGGGGCGGCGCTGACCAAGCGGGGGATCCCTGGCTGCATTCAGGGACCCGAATCGAGAGCTGGGGGGGGGGGTTGCCGGTTTTATCCCGGGATCACCTGCGATTAAAAACGACTTAACGGAAGACAAGGATAAAGGAGGACAAGAATGGCGTCGGTCAGAAATGGTGTAAGGGGCTTGGGCGGGGGGTGGACTAGATGACCCAGAAGGTCCCTTCCGACTCTCTCATTCCATTATTAACGGCAGGCCGGACTCTCGCTCTCCGTCCCGACGGCCAAGGCTTGAGCAAGGCAGGCCTCTGGGTCTCCGGGGAGCCTGGTTTCCAGAAGGCAGGTGCGCTTTGGGGGCGGCCGGAGGGCATTGCAGGCAGGATCGAATTGGCCAGGTGGCTGTCTCAGGAGCCGCGAGCAGGGTGGGCACCAGGTGAAGCTTCTAGCTGGTCTTCAAGCCCCACACACAGGGCATTACTGCAGTCAAGTCTTTAGATGCCAAGCGTGAACGTCCGAAGGGTGCATCAGATTAAGAGTTGGAAGGAACCTTGTAGGTCATCTAGTCCAACCCCCCCCCCCCCCAAGCAGGAGACCCTACACCATTTGTGACAAATGGCAGTCCATCCTCTTCTATATACTTGTGCAACCTTGTTGGTTTATGCTTTTGGTCAACAAACTACTGAAGGGCTCGGAAATTGGACAGCTACTACTGTAGAGATATTGGCCAGAATCCTTGCAAGGGAAGTGGACCAGGAGTAGAGATGTGGGGAAACTGCAGAGTCTGTTTGTAGCCAAGCTGGTTCTTCTACAAGAAATAGAGGGCCCACAAAATGCAGTCTTGAAGTATTTTTATCCATATTTGAGGATAACAAAAAAAAAAAAAACTATTGGGAACACTGAGAATGGGCCAGAATTCATGGGTAGTACAGGTGGTATTTGACCTGATACCTCAATTGATCCCAGGATTTCTTTTGCTAAATGAGAAAGTTGTTAAGTGAGTTTTGCCCCCTTTACAATCTTTTTTTCCTGGCATGTTAAACACTGCAGTTAAGTTAGTAATACATTTGTTAAGTGACTTTTGTTTCCCCATTGACTCCTTGTCAGGTCACAAAAGGTGATCACATTACTGGGATGCTGCAATGATCCTCAATATGAGCCAAGTATCCCAATTTTGATCATGTGACCATGGCGATGCTGCAATAGTTATAACTGAAAAAATGGCCATAAGTCACTATCTTCAGTGCTATTGTAACTTCAAACTGTCACTAAACAAATTTTTGTAAGTTCAGGACGATCTCTATCATCTTTGCATGCAAAAGATCCCCAAATTGATCCCTGGATGGATTGGAAATCATCCTGTATATAAAGATCAACAAGATTTGAGTATTCCGTGAAGGAATAATCTGACTCAGTGGCTGGGTTTGAACATGTATTACCAGACCAGACTTAGCCACTCCATCCACACATGTAGAATTGTTAGTTTTAACCTTAATTAAAAGCTTTTGAAGCTTAGTACATTATTTGTGAAGCTTAGCTTCACTTTGTCAACCCAGAAAATGGTTTAATTTAACCAAATTGCCTTTATTCTGTTGCTCCATCACAGAGAAAAGCAAATCTTTTCCTGCTATCGTAAGAAAATGGTCTCCCTGAATAGACTCATTCTGGTTGCTCTCATTTAATAAGACACCATCTGGCTTTCTTAAGGGGGGTGGGATCACAAGTACTGTATGACAGTGGTCCCCAACCTTTTTTGCGCCGCGGCCCGGTACCGGCATCACAAAATGATCCACGGCCCGGTACCGGCATCAGCACGCATGACAAGGCAAGGCGAGCCGAGCGACCGGCCAGCCAGCTGTCCCCCACTTCTCCCCGCCACCTTCAACTCCTCCTTTGTACCTTTGTCGATGGGCTTCGCTTCAGGACGGCTTCGGGACGGTCGCTCGGCTCGCCTTGCCTTGGGTGCTGAGGGAATCCTCGCGCCTTAGTTTCGTTCGAAGCCGCCCCCCCTTCGATGAAACTAAGGCGCGAGGATTCCTTCAGGACCCAAACGCCACTTTCCAACCGGAAAAGCTCACCCGGAAGCACTTTCTCGTCAAACAAGATGGTGGCGCCCAGCAAACCGGTGGCCCGGTAGGAAATGTTCCACGGACCGGTACCGGTCCGCGGCCCGGTGGTTGGGGACCCCTGCTGTATGATATCACTTGCCACTCTTACACCCTAGGAATAGTGTAGTTCTGTCTTGTTCTTGGTGAATCCTGGGCCTGGTGTCCCAAAACACCAGTTGACATCTCAACGATCCTTCAGGACTAGAGTTTATAATAGGCTTTGGCATTCAGGATAGATGGGTCACCATTGTTGAGAGTGATGAAAGTCAAGCTGAAGAAAAACGATATTTGGAATGAGAGGTTTTCTTGGGGAAAAGAACCAGCCAGAGTTATTGTTTGAGAACCCCTCAGAAAGTGCCAATAGAACTGATCCAAAAGGCTTGATCTCTATAGATGTCCACTGATTGTTTAGATCCTGTCTTCACTTGATGTTAAGGAACTATGGCCTTCTGATAAGAAGATAACTTGTAGCTGATAACTTTCTGCCGATTCCACAATATTTCTTTGCCACATTCAAGTCTCAAAATGTGGGCTCTGTAAGCTAAAATCCAGTCAAACTAGGGAGGTCCTGCCTCCTGTGAGAACGTTCACAGCCTGTTGGGAAAAAGAATCCTACTGATTTTCAGACAACTTCCTCTTCTGCTGTTTTTGTTCTTTTATTGAGCACCATGGATATCTTGTGCCTTAGCCATGCGTTATATCAGCTTAAGGGGACACACTACACGATATTAAAGCATTTAAAAAAGCATTTAGCCTTCACTATCAAAAATAAATAAAATAAATGCAAAAGTTAGACCAAACAACTGAAAAGAGGAACAGGTTTGCTAACACCCATGTTTATCATTCAGAATCCAGAATTGGTGTGGATGCCTTCAAAGACAAGTGTCAAGTTATTAAAACCTACCCAATTCTCTTGGTAAGACCCACCAACTTTCTATAACAGTGTTTGTTGAAATGTGGAAGACAGCGTGGGATGAGACTACCATAAAAGAGTGATAATGGATATTAACATTACACAGTCTTGAAAAATACAAAGAAAAATTCCATGCTTTTTAGGTTATTTTGATGATATAATTTCCAAGATATAAACTTTAAATTCTGATGCTATATTGTTCATATACTACTCCTACCCCCATCCCCAACTCAGCAAGAAGTCACACCAAAATGAGCGCAAAGAAAGTATTGCCTGGATTTAAAATCCTCCATAAGGATAGCCCTAATGTTGGACGTTTCTGAACTGTTCACTCTTCAAAAGGGAATCGGTATCGGTCAACATTCCCGTCACCTCTCAGCTCTTGCAAGGCAATCTTCAGAAATGGCAACCTCCCTCGTTCCAAAGCCAACCCTTGAGCTCGTGCTGAAGGGGACACAATGGAGGGGCGAAGGGGGGCTCCCCCTGCCCCATCCTGAGCTGGGCTGCTATCCCCTTTCAGGCTGGCATTGAATGATAGCGAGCTGGCTAATGACTAATACCTTCAAGGGGTTCAAAAAGGTCATATACACACACACACCTGTTTCTCAGGACTTCTCAATGCAATACTTCTTTCAGGGGAAAAACTGGCGATAGATATAAAAGCCCAGATGTGAAACATGGACTCCTCAATAGGAATACCTCAAGGAGTCTGTATGTACAGCTGTCCTTTGTAGTTACACTTCAATCAATTCAGCATCTTTCAAAAGTACTGAGAAGGCCTTGTAATCTGTGCCGCTTAATGCCATCTCCAGACTGGAGGCTAGAAAATGTCACCAACTTGCCCCTTCTTTTGGGCCCAAAGATTTAATCAAATGCAGGCAGACAAGATACATTTGAGACAGTACATGTCAATTATTAAAAAGTATTACATAAGTTGTTTAATGAAAGTTTAAAATATGGGTAGGATGCCATAAAGTCTCAAACAAGCAGGGACTCCTCTTTAAGGGAACAAAGAGAAGTTTGAAGTCAATTCCTCTCTAAACTATTCTGAAAGGCTTGCCAAGGGTTCCATTTAAACACAGTGCTCTAAAAAGATCCAGTTGTGTTTTTTCACATTTACTAGAAGCTTCTCTTAATGAAACCATGGTTCGTTTTGACAGTATTTGCCAAAACATTAGAAAGAACTGCATAGATAAGAATATAGAAATAACTGTAAACATCTGTTTAAGAATCAGAAGAATTCCTACTTTCAGGCACACAGACCTTCATTCCCGACCCTCTGCACCGAGCAGCCATTGAGACGAAAATCTGGGGCCTAACTTCAGCTTCACCACTATCAATATTTGCAGATCTTTTTGAAAAAACATGGTGGATAGCCATGCATTTGAAAGGCAAGATGTCGTATCATTTGTAAACAAAACTGGTCTTCAATCCTTAAGGGTAGTCAAACTGAATGCTGACATTGGTAAGATCAAGCAACCTGAAGGCCAACTCTAGAAATGCAGGCAAAAGGGGGCTTCTCCCCTCTGGCTAATAAAGGGAGCAAGGGGAAGAGGGGAGAGGAATTAGGGAGGAAATACATATTTCATTTATCCCAACAGAGGAATACTTATTCCCTAAAACATTCTTACATGAGAACCGCAAAGGAATGTATAGGAGAAGTCCACAGAGGCTGCTAGTAACAGAGGCCTGTATACGGACTGGAGTAGCACCAATAAGTTGTCCTTGAACCACCTGCAGGAACTAAGCTCCCAATCGCTTCCCACAAACCAGCGGAGCTTCCTCTGGCCGGCACTGGAGAAAGTGCTGCAGCTCTACAGGACGGAAGCTGAGAGTAAAGCCGAGTCCTTCCGTGGAATCACCTTCCGCACAACCAGGGATCAGAAGGAAACAGGCAATGCAGGCCTGCTCCGGCCACAACATTTTAAAAAGTTATACATCCATCTTGTCTGCACAAGAGACGTCCGCTTGGCGCCAAGCCTCTTCGTGTGGTGATGCAAATAAAACAACCTTCTGCATTCAATACTGTGACACAATTACATTCTCGAACCTCGTTCCTGCAAAATCTAGAGAGAAAAAAATTACACAGAGAAATTAGATTTGACAAAATCTTCCATGTGGATTTGTATACTAAACATTGCTTACTTTATTCTTGTTTCTAAGAAACCCCATGCCTCTGGTGCAAATGCAGACCAACCCAAAGTCAGCAAACCATCATTTAGCCACAGAGCCTAAATATCTCGGCCACAAACAGTTTGTGCACCTCTTGTCACCAAGACCCTGGAACACCCCCTCCTGCAAGGGAAGATGTAGCTCACTAGAACGACTGGAGGTGCTTTGTGACACAAACCTTATTTTATTAATCTGTGGGCCCTTTATCCCAGCAAAGCAGTCTGGTCACCAGCCCTCCTGAAGGAAAAGCGTCTGAGGACCCCTGCACTGAGAAGGCCTGTCCCTGTCTGTCTGGGAGCTGAGTCCCTGGCCCTATTCCAAAATCTGAATAATGATACTTCAATCTGCTTTTGCCCAGTATTAGGAGTTAAGGGATGTAGAAATACAAAAACAAGAGGCAACAGTGTGTGTGTGGAGGGGGGGGGGGGAGAGCAGCAGGTGGCACTTGGACCTTTTGGCCTTCACATTTAATCTAACATTAGAGGAGGAAAGCCGAAAATTGGAGGAGCCTGGGAGCATCTTTGTAGGCTAACAAATTTTATTAAAAGGCAAATGCTTCCATGAGCTGCTGCTCAAAAGAAACGCAGCTGCAAGTTAAGCTTCTTCTTACAGCTCTTCAAAGATGCAGAATAATGGCAAATAATGCAACATATCCTTGAATGACCTGAACTGAATATGGAGACACCTTGTTGGCTTTTGGCTTAGCAAGCATTATAATCTGAGAAATAAAGCAGCCAAACTAGTTCATTTCACAGTAACTGTCACATTCTTAGAAAAACCAGCAATCATCAGGACCAACAGAACTCTGAGGTGCTGCAAAATCTCAGATTTTCCCATCACATATTTTAAGGACCAGGACTGTGTGATTTCCTGTTTCAATGCAATAGCTTTTTATTTTTCACTGGAGTGTTTTTATAGTTTGTGTCTAAAATGCTCATATAGACTCATTTATCTCCCTTTTCTCCAATTCTTACCATCACTCTCTTTTTATTAAAGTTTATTCTGGAAGAATTAGAAGATGGCTTAGTCATTTCATGTTAGTGCACAAAGTAAAACCATGGCTGTCACAGTAATAAAAAGGAAGCAAAAATAGCCTTAAAATCTAGCCTGCGCTCTTAAAATAGCTTGAATTCTTAGCCCCCGTAATCAGTCCTTTGCCTAGTGCTCCCTTGCCCGAGGATGGAGACCCACCTGCACCCCTCTGGCCCTCTTAACTAGAGTGGCTGGCATTCCTGATGGCAGCCCTCCTTTGGTTCCCCTTGGCAGAAGAGGCGGCCAGATCTATGTGCCATGGACAGATGCCCATTCGTCTTCTGAAGATTCTTCCATTCACCTTCAGGCTAGTTTGGGCTTAAATGCAAATGGCATTGTCCAGACATTGAAACTTCACCAATTAAACCAACGTCGACTCCCCCTGTGCTTGCTCCACCCAGCACTCACCCCCCACCCCCACCCCCACGGAAGAAGCCAGGGGACGCAAACAGAACCCTTCTGTAGTGGGATGTTGGGGTGGGCGGCGCAGTATTACTTCAGCATTCATTTCCAACGCACCATCTACTTAGCCTGAAGGCCCCCAACTCAGGTCAGGATCTGAAACCGCAACGCGGACAACAAGGGTCCCACACATGGGCAGAGACAAGGCTGCTTTCTTACAAGGAGTCCCATTAGCACTGAAGTGTAGAAATGCAGGGGAAGGCCCTTACGTTGTGAGTTGACGGGCACCTTTTGATTTCTCCATTAAAGGGAAAGTTTAAAGCTCATTCTGAGCTAACTTGATTGTTTCTCATTCTCTGCTGAGAAAAGGAGGTTGTGGGGGAGGCAGGACCGTCCTAGAGCTGCAAAGTTTTTCCTCATCTGTGAAAGGCTCACAGTTTTGGTTCCGTCCCAGAGCCAGGTGCTCCCTGGTCGAGGTCAGGTTGTGCTGTCTCAGGACTACTGGGGCAGGGCCGTGCAGCGATGGCACCAGGCTTTCATAGAAACCTCTTCCTGGCCTTTAAACTGGGAACTTCCACCCAGAATCCTGCACAGTGGGTGGTGCAAACTGGCTGCCCTTGGGGAGGGGCATCTCTGAGGTTGTTTTAAGGAGCTCTTTATTGGAGATTTGGGTGTCATCTTGCTTGGCATGTATGCCTTTTATGTTAGGCTTTTAAATCTGTTTGCTTGAATTAATAATAAAGCTTAAAAATTCTTATTCGCTGGTGTGCTTGTTGTCCAAAAAGACCAACTGCCTGGGCACCTGAGCCCTGGCAAGCACAAAGCCCAGTGCCAAGCTTTTATGCGCTCCTCTCCTCGTCCTCTCGATGACTCACCTTTGCTTTCTCGCTGGGCTCGCTGGCTGTGCCATAGGGCGTGTTGTGCAGCTCCTTGGAGACAACGCAGAGGAATTCTGCCTGGTCCTCATTCCCATAATTATAGGATGATCCGATGCTCACCAGCTGGAAGAGGAAAGAGAGGCTTAGAGTTGCTGCTCTTGCTTGCAAAGGGCCCCCGAGGCCTCACACCACACGGAAAGCGTGTCCAAAGGCCAAAGCTCCACTAGCTGGAGGGCAGTTCTCTCTTTTTGTTCCTACCCCTAGCAGAGAGGAAGAGCAGGGCCGTCACTGGTGGCCTTCCTCATGAGCGGAGTTCCAGAACATGGACTTTGCCCATGATGAGGGCTCACCCAGCTCCTGACACTCTAAGTATTTAGGGGCAATTAATAAACCTTTTAAAGGATTTGTTACAATTTCCCCATCTCTATTGGTGTTCTTTTTTTAGTATCTGTCCTGTAAATTCCAAATTAAATACCAACATGCAGATTAATGGAACAGCTGGTAAAATAATTGGCATGTTCCATCAAACGATCACTTCTGCTCAGAAACTCTGACACCCACTTTCCTCGTCTTTCAAACCAACGCGAAGCCCAGGAGCCACAGGCAGCTTTGCCAAGCAGCCTCAGGCTCCCAGGAGCGTTTCTGGAAAAGGAATAACCTTGAAAAGCCTTGAAAAGAAGCAGCTGGTACTAAATGCGGCCACACAAGCAATCTTGGGCACCCAAAGAACCGAGTATGTAACAACGCGGGGGTGGGTGGGACTTGGTTTCCCTCCCCCCCCCCAAATTTTTTTGGTTCTATTGTACTTTACTAATTTATTTGATTCTTTTTGTTAGTTTTTATTGTTTTTTATTTTTATTTTAAAAATGGTTTTACATTGTGTAAGCCTCCTTGAATCAGCAAATAGGTGGCAATATAAATTAAATGAATAAATAAATAAACTTGGCTGCACTGGCTCCACTGGATGCCAGTTTGCTCTGGATCCAATGCCAGGTGCTGGCTCTGATCTTAAAGGCCCACTTGGCACCGTATCTCTGGAACCATCTTCAGCCCCTTACACTGGCCCATCCCACCCAGGGCGGGGGCACATGCTGTGGACCGGTCAGTTAAAGAATTCTGACCGGTGGGGTCCAGGAAGAGGCCCACGCTGTGGCGGGACCCCCTCTCCTTTTGGAAAGGTTTGGAAACATGGCTCTGCTGTCTTGCTTGGAGCAGACGGAGGTGGAGCTGATTAGCACCTGGAAAGCCTGCCCCCCCCCCTTCCAATTAACTGAATTATAATCATCCTTGCCTTTTTAAAAATTTTGCATATTGGTTTTTAATGTTTTAATATTTTATTTGTATTCTACCCAGAGTCCTTCTGTGAAGGAGATCGGTGATTTCAAAATCTGACAACTAAGTAAAATCAATGAAAGAAAATAAATCCCTCCCCCCATTGCTGTTGTGACCCTGAAAGCAGGCTGCCAAGTGTCTCCAAGCCTCTCTCTCTCATAACACACAAACACACACGCATACACGCACGCACACACAAGCCAACTCCAGCTGCTCCACTAACCACCAAGCAGCTGATCCACACACCAGGGATTCCCCTGGGACCTTATGCTTTTCAATGTCACCTTTCTTCTCTACAGGTTGTATCAGTCCGACTTAAATCCTGGTTTGCCAGGGAAGGCCCCGGAAATTATCGTTGCTAGAAATGCTCAAATATATCACAACCCTGAATAATCTTTTATATGCTTAAAAGGAGCTTCAATAAAGGAGAAGAAACAAAATTATCCAATAAAGATCTTGGGTGAAACAAAGAAAAATTACTGCCTATTCTGGCACCTGGTTTCCTGATCTTCTATAACTCACCTAACAACAATAATTTAATCTCTGCTGATTCTTGGAATGGACATTTCAGCCATTTATTCAAGACATCTCTAGGTGAGAATCCTTCAATTTTGCTACCCTTCCTGAATAGACCCATCTCATGTATAAAACATCAAAAATAAATTTCTCAATTGGAGAAAAGGCAAATCCCTCAGCAAAAACAATTATACCAGAATTTCCAAAATCCAACCCCACCTCTGCTAGCTCCTCTCTTCATCGCCACAAATAACTCTTTCCAGATTCCAAAACTGGGCTTAATCCTTCTTCCCATGGATACAAAGGGGGACCAGTCTTATCCTATAAACTATCATTCTACCAGCCTCTCATCTGCAGTTAGTAGCTTAAACACATATTTTTTTCATATTATAAACTTTCTCATTGTAAGCTTTCTAAAAACATCCTGACCTCAAAGCAGACAATGTTCAGACCGGATCATTCAACAACAGATCATAACATAATATGACATCATACCAGCCAAGAAACCTTCCCAAAGGTGCCCTTCAGAATTATAAAGGAAAACAATTTAAACTGTTTTTGAAAAGAACACTGTTCAGAAATGAAACATAAGCTTGCAGAAAAGGAAGAGGAAAAAAACAGATTACCCCAATTTGTTTTTTCACCCGTATGACTGCTGCAGCACCTCCACCCCCAAAGGAGCAGCCACGTTACCTTCACAGGTAATGTTTTCTTAAGAGGCACCATAAATAGGAGGCTCTCAGCTATGTACAAAAACAAGGAGCTCCTTCCAAAAAGAACCAGAGGCGAAGGGAGCAAGAGGAGAGACAGAGGTCGTCCCCCACTCCATGGATTGCCTCGGTGGGCCTAGTTAAGGCACCTCTACCTGTCCCTACCTCAGTCTCAAGACAGGAAGGGAAGTATTGGCCTTCTTATAAAAGAGAGACGTACGGGTGACTGAAAGCGCAGGTGCAAAACTCTCTGACACCGAAGCACACTAAAGAAACTGACACACTAATTTCAGAATATTACTTACCAATTTGGCATTACTTAATAGCACGGATATTATTTTTGATGGGATACTGCTACTATTAATCTCTTTTTGATATTGATAATAAGGTAGTACCGGTAATCCTCGACTTACAACCAAAATGGAGCCCATAATTTCTGTGGCTAAGCAAGACAGTTAAGTGAGTTCTGCTCCATTTTACGACCTTTCCTGTCACAGTTGTTAAGCAAATCACTGCAGTTGTTAAGTTAATAGCAGGGCTGTTAAGGAAATCTGGCCTCTCCATGGGCTTTCTTGTCAGAAGATGGTTTGCAAAGGGACCACCTGATCATCCCAGAACAATCGTCATAAACACGAGTCAGCTGCCAAGCACCTGAGTTTTGTTCATGTGACAACTGGGGACGCTGCAGCAGTCATAAGTGTGAAAAAGTCATAAATTGCTGTTATCAGTGGCGTTGTAACTTTGAACCAGTCACTAAGCAACCTGTTGTAAATCGAGGTCTACCTGTGTGATATTGTAGTGCCTTATATATACCAATGCAATAAAAGTTCTCTCTCTTTTTCTCTCAGCTGTGCCTGTATCTGCAAAGGAAGGGAAATCTCGTTACGTTACCTGTTCAAATTTCCAGCCATCAGACATGGTGGAGACCATCTGAGTCAACTCCTCTTCCTGGCACTGGAGCACTCTGTAAACATGCTTGACTGGCACCTGTGGCAGAGAACAAGGCTGCTGGGACCAAGGCAGGGAATGGACAGCCCATGGGCATGCTCAAAAGGAGCTCTCCTGCACACACACACACACACACGGTCATGGGTACAGCACCCCCACCCCCCACCCCACCCCCGGGTGGGACTGGCCTCACAGACTGTCAAAGCGGCATCAACACGAGAGAAGAAATGCTCCTGGAGCTGGGAAAGGCCACGTTCCTCTTCCACACTGGCAATCTCACGTCCTGAAACAGCCCCAAGCCAAACGCCACTTACTCAGAAAATCAGAGAGGGCCCCACCTGTGAGATTTTACTGTCTCTTTCTCTTATTTTGTCCTTCACCAGTTTAATTAAGGATGTGATGTTGTAGAATTCAGCTTCTTCAAGCACACCTTGTAAAGGAAACCAAGTTGCAAAAGACAAAACTTAATTCTGGTGGCAAACAACGTGAGCCCAGGCCACAAACTGCTACCACCTCTCTTCCCACTTTCAAGAGTGGCTGTGGAACACAAGAACAACAGAGCCCAGACAGGTGGAAAAGGGCAACAATCTGCATGACACCAGGTTCCTTTTTGTTTCTTCAAATATGTTATAATTAGAAATATTCCAGCTGAAGGAAGGAAGGTTTTGAATGGGGAGGGAAGCATATTTGGAGGTCTGGCTAGCCTTACAAAGTGAGACTGGGGTTAGGGTTACGGTTAGGGTTAGTTCTTCTTTATTCCTACTTTTTATTGTTTGGAAGAACTGTTATTTTACAAGAATCAAATGCCAGGAGCAGTTTATTTTTCAACATTTCAAGCCGAAGAAATTCAAAAGGAGGCAACCACAAGCTGAGGTGTCAAGACCAGCCAACCTGTGCAAATAATCATGCAACTGCTTTCCAAATGAAGCAATTTGAAAACTAATTTTTGGAGCCATCGAATTTCAGAAGAGTTTTACAGAATTGCAAAACATACCTTCCTCCGCCAGGTCTTTATTGATAACAAGTTTCCCATGCCGGAGATAGTTCAGTACCGGTCCAAAATAGGTTGGATCTCTGTCTATTAAATAGGCACCTGTTTCATCCTAATTAAAAGAAATACATTTTATTTATTTGGTGCACACCCCACTTTTCCAGCAATCAGTTCTGTAAGCAGCTTTTTACGTTTTAACAATAAAACAAATAATGTTATTTATATCACTGTGGTCTTTGTGGGGAGATCATGCTATTGGTTTGACATCCTCAAGGCAATGAATTAGGATATGATTTTCAAGAGCATTTGCCAGCTGTGGGCTAGGCGACAAAGGCAACCAAAAGTGGAGAGAAACTTTATTTAAAACCTGAACTGTTAAACAAATCACCAAATGTTTAAATTAAAAGATCAGTATCCCCATGCGTACCTGAAAGGACCAAAATTTAAATGCAGAACTCAGTTGTAATTATAACATTCTCTCAATTTACTAACAAACGTTTTATTTCTTTGAAAAATTCATGTGGCTATGACAGGGGGAGAACAAAGATTGTCAGGTCCACCATCTCTGGCTTGGTACCGCACTGGCGTCTGTCATCAGTGGACTGGGGGAGGGGAACAAATGGGCAATAAACCAGCATGCACTTTTGTGTGGGAAATCAGGAGGGGAATGACAGCTGAAGAGTGTCACCGAGGGACCAGTTTGTGCCAAGGAGTCTTCAAGGCTGTTTGCCCCGAGTGTGGAAAGTTACCAGGCCAAACACCTCAGGGTTCCCAAAACATCCAGGTGGCATCGTATTGGTTGCATTTGGACTGGTCAAGGGGAAATGGATGGGACTGAAGGAAATAGATTTATCTTGTTGCACAGGAAACTCAAATTCCACCTGACTTTACTGCAATCAGCATCTCTTAGTAAAGGGACCCTTTGCTTCAACAAATGGGAGTTGAGGTTTTTTTTCTTCCCTAAGGGATCAGACTTGGGGGCAGGTCTGACATTAGGCAGAGTCTGCAATTCTGGTCAACCTGGAGAGGACATAATCTCTATTGTGGAGACTGCGCTCAAGGGAGCGATCAGGAAGGGATCGAATGCTGGGAGAGGCTTCGTCCAGGCCTCCTCCGGGACTGGATCTCTCTGAGTGGATAGGAGAGGCCGTGACCAAACGAGTCCCAGGTGGTTCTTGGATGTTGGGAGGAAGAACGACCCACGGGGATGAACTACTATCAAGCTAACACCTCAGAGTTGTCAAACACCTATGCGGCACTGCACTGGCTACCGGTGAACTGGGGAAGGGGTGGTGGTGTTTGAGTTGGGAAGAATAGCTTAATGCTTTGCGCAGGAACTTCAGGTTCCGCCTGAACTCTCTGCAATCACTTTCTCTCAGTAAAAGTGCCTTTTGACAACTACTTGTTTCAAGAGTCACACTTTCCTGAGGGAGTAGCTGAGGGAGGGCTTTAAAGTTCCTAGTGGGATAGGTTTTCCAGATGTTCTACCACTTTGGTAAGCCCAGAGACACGACACTAAGATCCAATCAAATCGAACCCTTTATTTGCTTGCCTCTAATGGACAAAATCTTGCAAATGAAAGCTATAAACTTTTAGACATTGTTCTCCTCTATCAAGCTCGGGAGAGCCCAGTCTCTGAATCCTTTTTCTGGGAATGTTCTGAGTTGGCAGCTGCCTCAGAGGCTCCTCCTGCGTAGAAGGAAAGGGGCCTTGGCGGCCTCCAACCCTAACTCATCCAGGTCAGGGAATCTCAGATCGTCCATGACAACTGGCTGCCTGAACTTTGCTTTGACACCCCCAGTGATGGACTGTCCTGTGGTTTAATACTTAACAGGAATGGTAAAGTATTATTTTGAAATCTTTGAAATCTTACTCTGTAAAGCTCTCATCCCTCACTACGCGTCCCATTCTCAGATACCGGAGAATAAATCTACATCCTCTTCCTTGGTAGTGACTTTCAAGAACTAAGGCCTGCTGGCTTGTTTCATCTAAGCTTCTTCAGGCTAAATATACTCGGTGCCTTATCCTATTTTTCATAGGATTCAACCTGCAAGCCTCCTTTCGTTGTCACTGTTTTTCTGAGCCATTTTCCCAGTTCCTCAGCATCTTTCCTGAATTATGGCAACTAGAACTGGATACAATACTCCAGTACAACACAGAACTATCCCTTCCTATCATCTCATCACTATGCCTCGGTTGATGTGATCCAAGAATACATTAGTCCTTTTGGCAACAGTAGCACATTGCTGGCTCATGGTTAATTTATGGTCTACCAGAATACTGAGATCCTTTCAAAAGTACTACTGCTAGTACCTATCAATCTGATTTTTCCTATTTAAGTAAAGAACTGTACACGCCCTGCAATGAACTCCATTTTGTTGGGTAAGACTCCATGTTAAGGTATATCAAGAGCCTTCTGAACCTTGAGCTGGTCTTCTAAGAAGTTAGCAATCCACTCCAACTTTGGGTTGGCTGAAAATGTGATCAGCACTTCTTCTATCTCCTCATCTAAATAATTCATTAAGAAATTGAAGAGCCCTGGGGCCAAGATGACCCTGAGATCCCACACTGAATATATTCCTGATGACGAATATCGCCAGAACATAAACACGCACACCTTTACTGGTGAAACAAAAAGGTGTAAGAGTTGATGCTGTAAAGGCATACAAAATTCTGGGATGCATCACTAGAAGGGTCATCAGCAGGAAAAAGGAGGTCCTAATCCCGCTTATATCAGGCCTATCAAACTGGCAGCCCGCAGGCCACGCCCACCCCGGCTCCACAAAGGCAAAAAAAAAAGTCACATCACATGATGCGATTGAATTTGACACCCATGCACACACAGAGGTTCAGCCAGACCCCTGACTAAACTGGAACATTTTGCCCACTTAAAAATAGATGTAAGATTGAGTAAGTCCGGCGATGAGGAACAAAAACGGTGCAAGCTCCAAGGGACAAAACCTATCAGGAGAGATTGGAGGAACTGAATATCTACTGTCTGGAGGATGGAAGGGAAAGAGGGACATGACTGAAACCTTGAAATATATGAAAGGTGTGAATAAAGTTCTAGAAGGTTCTAGAACTAGGTCCTATTTTCAACATTAAGCAAAAATCAAGAACCTGGGAGCATAATCTCAAACTGAAAGGAGGGAAGTTCAAATGTAATGTTGGAAAGTATGACTTCACAAAGAGAGTAGAGGATGCTTGGGACCAATTTCCAGCGGATGTAGCATACCAACCATCAATAACTGTGTTTAAATATGCTTGGGATAAACAAATCTCCATCTTCTGACAAAAAATAAAAAATATAATACAATTAAAATAAATTAAAAAATAAAAATAACCAAAAACGATACATTTAAAAAAAAATCCCCTTCAAAGGACAGACTTGATGGACCACTAGGTCTTTTTCTGCCATCAGTTTTCTATGTTTCTAAGACAAAGAACGCAAGGACCACGTGTGGCATACAGGAGTACAACCCCTTTGAATCCATCTAGTAATGGGACTATCCATCCATTTTGTTTTATCCCAAGTTGCCGCCTGGATGCCACCAGGAACCAGGGAAAACATGGGAAAGATGGAGGGAGGTGCAGAGAAGGCTTAAGTGGCCTGCTGACTAAAGGAGATGGAAAGATGGTGATAGGCAGCAGGGAAAAGACTGAACTGCTTAATTTCTAGTATGCACCTGTCTTTTCCAAAAGCGACTGACTTGTAACTGACTACAGCATGGGGAGCCGAAGAGAAACACAGATTAAAATAGGCAAGGGATTGGTAAAAGAGCATCTAGTTGCTTTGAATGAGTTCAAGTATTCTGAACCGGATGGATTGTATCCCAGAATGTTAGAAGAATTGGTAAGAAACTGACTGAAATCTCTGAGAAATTCTAGAATGCAGGGAAAGTCCCAGAAACCTGGAGAAGAGTTAATATTGTCCCAATATTTGTTTAGAGGGGTAAAAGTTGATCCAGGAACTATAGACCAATCAGCTTGACCACAATACGTGAGAAATTCGGGAAATGATAATTAAGCAGTGCTTTTGCAAGGCTTTAGAAACGAACAGGGGGATTATCAAAAGCCAGCATGGATTTGTTAAAAACAAGCCATGTTTTTAATAACCCTGGTCCCTATTAGCCTTGGAATTAATTTTACCCTGTCAGGAAAGTTTTAGTAAACAACCCTAATTTATTGCTTTCTTTGACAATGATCCCAGATTATGATCTAAGAGAACGGCGCGGATGTACTTTACTTTGATTTCAGTAAGCATTTGATAAAGTGGGCCATAGCTTCCTTGTTAATGAACTAGAACGATGTGGGATGGACTGCAGCTGGTTGAGCTGGGATGAGTATTCACTCACTCAGTTCATTGCAATTGTAAACCAGAACAAATCCTAAAATAAAATTTAAGACATTTGTAAAACTAACTAGTATCTAGAGAGAGATCCAGCATACCTTCTACATTAAACATTAAAATTATATTAAATATCTAAAATTACCACACACTAATCACAGCAATAGCATTTTAAGACATACCTACTCTAAGCTGTTTACAGAGTCAGTCTGTTGCCACCAACAACTGGGGTCATTTTACCAACCTCAGAAAAATGGACAGGATTGAACTGATGGCAGTGAGCTGAATTAACCTGCAATACTGCATTCTAGCACCCTGACTGCTCTTTAGAAGGCCAGATCCTGAAGATGAAGCTCAAATACTTTGGCCACCTCATGAGAGGGAAGGAAGGGCTCGCTGGAGAAGAGACGAATGCTGGGAAAGATTGAGGGCCAAAGAAGAAGGGGACGGCAGAGAAGGAGGGGGCTGGATGGAACCCCCGGAGCACTCGGGGTGAGCTTAAATGGACTCCAGAGGATGGTAGAGGACAGGAAGGCCTGGAGGAACGTTGTCCATGGGGGTGCCACGGGTCGGACATAACTTTGCAACTAACAACAACAATGCTGAAAGAGAAGAGAAAGCTTTCCAATGGCTGTGTAAAGGAGCTGGCAGCAGTGACCAATGGAGCTGTTACGCACTGGGCAAAGGAAGGCTTCCCTAGATCTGTCTGCCTCTCTGCATCCTTTAGGCCCCTTGGAGACTTGGGGACACAACTCCCCAAAGCTGGCTGAGGAATCCTGGGAATTGAAGTCCCCAAGTCTTCTAGCGGCCAAGGCTGGAGAGCCCTGCTTTATTAGGCGTCCCATCTGAAGCGCTGAGGAAGAAGAGGAGCCTAGAAGAGCTCAGAGATCAGGTCCGGGGTCCCCAGGCGTGGCCACCTGGGGACTTGGGGACGTCAACTCCCAGAATCCCTCAACCAGCCCAGAAGTCCCCAAGTCTGGCGACCTCTAGATTAGGTGCAGCCCCCTTGATTGCGGGGGACGGGAATTCCCGGCGCTGAGCTCCGAGGGCAGCCGGGGCGCTTTCGCCGAAGGTTTATCTATCTGCCTTCCTGGACTTCCAGTCCACCCTGTTTGCCCCCCAGACTTGGTGCGTTTGTATACGGGCCCTTGAGGCCTTTAGACCCCTCGGGACTCCACTTTCGGGGGCCGGAGGAACACCGAAGCCCGTCAAGGAGCCGGGCAAGCGGCCCGGCCTGAAAGAGCCGAAGGGCGGCTGGAAGTTGGAAGCTTTTCCTCGGGCAGGGAAGTTCCAGGAGGCCCTTTGGGCAGCGGCCCGCCCGGCGGCTCCCGACTCCCGAAAACTCGTCGCTTGCTCTACTTTGCGGCCGGGAACGGTCCCTAAACGGAGCTCCGCGTCGAGGTCAAGTTGAGGGGAGAGAAATCTCCTCAGAGCGAGCGGGAAACCAAACCTCCGCTGTGGCCTGCATAGGACGCGCCAGTAAGAGCGGATCAAAGGAGGACTAAGCGGGCGGTCGGGGATCTCGAGCGCCTCCCGGGAAGGACCGAGGCGCCTGCCGGCTCCGGCCTCGGCCCGTCCCCGTCAGGCGCCCGGCTGAGCCCCGGCACTCGCGGAGAAGGCCGCGCGGGGCCCCACCTTGTCGGAGTCGAGGTCCGGGTCGGCCTGGCAGAGGCGGAAGAGGAAGCTCTTGGGGTCCCTGCAGAGCGTCTGCCGGGTGGTGAGGAAGCAGGTGCCGCCCACGTTCAGCCGGACCCACTTGCCGGGCAGCGCCGCGGGAGCCCCGCCGCTCGACGGCGGGGCGGCGGCGGCGGCGGCCACCCTGGAAGGGCTGCAGCGGCGGAAGGGCGCCGAGGGAGGCCGGCCCAGGCTCAGCCCGCCCGCCGGCGTCGCCGGGAGCTCGCAGGGACTGTCCGTCGCCATCCTGGCCCGGCGCCAGAAGGTCCCCTCGCCAAAGGCGTCCCGGCCGCGCCAACCGCGCCCCCCCGACAGCCGCGAGCGCGCCTGCGCAGGGCGCCGACGGAGGAAAAGGCGGGGCGGGGGCTCCCCTCGCTTCCGGTCCCGCTGGCGAGGCGGGTCTTCCGGCCCCTGTCCGGCCCCGTCCTCCGCTCTTGCTCAGCTGGAAGCGGCCTCGGAGGAGGCGGGAGGCGGGCTAGGCTGCGGTCGCCCTCCCGCTCGAGCGGCGGAGGGCTTGGGAGTCTCGCCCGCAAAGAACATCGGGTTGGTGGTGGCTAAAGCTCCCCGAGCTGTGAAGGAGCTGGCAGGGGTCACCTCGGAACTTCCGCCTCCCGTCTTTCAAAGATCCTGGAGCACCGAAGTCCCCGAGGACTAGAAAAGAGCCGGCGGGGTTCCCACCCTCAAGAAAGCGGGGAAAACAGACCCAGGAAACTGCAGACCGGTCCGCCTAACATCAATACCCGGGAAGATTCTGGAAAAGAGAATCAAGAAACAGACCTGCCAACACCGAGAAACAAACAAAAATTAAAGCCAGAAGCCAGCAGGGGTTTGGCAAAAACAGATAGAAAATATCACCCTCGGGTGGATTTGTAACAAACTGGCTGACAAACCCTACTCAAGGAGGAGTCCTTAATGGGTCTAAGTCAGTGATGGGTAACCTTTTGGGGATCCCGTGCTGAAAATCGCACACACGCTCGCGTGCCAGCAGGCAATGCACTCCATCAGTGAGCATGCATGTGCAACACCCCCGGTGCCCCCTTACATGCACTGCACATGCGTGCACCTCCCAACTGATTTCTGGCCTCCCTGAGGCTCAGGGGAAGCTTCTGCAGCCTCAGGAGGCCAAAAAACAGGCCCGTTTTGTCACTTCCGGTATTTCCAGAAGGCCCATTTTTCAGCCTCCTGAGGCTGCAAAGGCTTCCCTCAGGGAGGCCAAAAAAGGTCTCAAACCAGCCGAAAATCAGCTAGGAGGCGTATGCATGCACAGTGCAGGTAAGTGGCTGGGGCTCACGTGCCTGCACAGATGTTTCTGCATGCCACCTGTGGCACATGTGCCATAGGTTTCGCCATCACAAGTTTAAGTCTACATGGAGGAAAGTGAGCATTAGAGGACCACAAAAGGTTCCATCTTTGGCTCAGTACCCTTCAATATCTATGTAAATGACTTAGATGAGGGACATGTTGAGTGGCTGGGCTAATTCTAGCAAGAGGATGTAAATCTGGAGATTTTGTGCCACAAAGAGCTTTATAGCTTAAAACTATAAATTGTACCCGGGAACTAATAGAAAAGCAGCGTAGGACCTGCAAAACAGTGTAATATGTGCCATCTTGTAAACACCTGTAAATAATACAAATGGGTTACTACTTATTGTACCAACTGAAGCTTCGGGGTGGTTTTTAAAGGCAGTCCTATGTACAGTACATTGCAGTAGTCTACTTGGTGATGAGCACATGCACTGTCTTAAGGCCGCAAGTGGCACAGCCCCCCAGCCATGGCTTCCATCGCAGAAGCCACCAATCTTGGGGATTCCCTAGTCCTGGATCTATCCTTTCAGGGATTAGATCCATGACTAGGGGTCCTTACAGACCCCAAGTCACTGGACAACCTCTACTAGTGGCTCTGTGTAAATGTTAAATAATGAGGGGAGAGCAGACCTGCAGAAGCTCATAATAGGACGTGTACAATATCAGTCTTCCATGCCATTCATTTACAGTTGGAACCGGCTAATGAGGAAAGGTAGAACCACTGCAAAACAATGCTCCCAATGCCCACAGCCAGGCAAGGAGACTGTGGTTGATTGTCCAGGTCTAAGCAAACATCATGAAGGATAGCAATGACCTCTCTGAATCATGCCCATGTTTAAACCCTGATTGACAGGGCTTTTCTATAGTTGATATTAAATCATCATCTGAATTAACTTCACCAAAAATGGAAGGTTGTAGAAATACCTCTGGATCCACTTTGGAACCCTTACGGGGTGGTTCACAACCTCCTAGATTCAGGAAATGATTGCTCATCTCATCAAGTTATCCAAAGAAGCTAGGAAGGATCCAGTCTGCACATAAATTAAGGGCATCCTAGAGAGCAACCTGTCTATTTCCTTGGAATAACAGGCTGAAAAAACCCACAATATCTGGCAACACAGCTGCCCCTTCACTACCGCAGACCCAGCCAAGATCAAGTTCTGACAAAGTGAATCTGAATGATTCTGCGAACAAAGTCTCAAGCAAAGGGGTAACAACGACCAGAAGATGAAACAATGGGGTGGATTCTACCCAGAAGCAAATTGGTCACCAAGAAATGGGCTACCGGATAGCAACTAGCTGATGCAATAAAAAAGGAGAAATAAATACATTTCATTTCTCATCACTATGGAATAGGCCTGAACTTGGGCGGGTACTTTTGCTCAAACTCAGTCTCTGTACTTAGCATCACGTTTCTACCTCATCTTCTGGAAGTCCTTGGAAAACCCAATAGCCAAATGGGAATCAGCCAGGGGTGGGATTCAAATTTTTTAACAACCAGTTCTGTTGGGGTGGCCTAGGTGGTGGGCGTGGCTTAGTAGTCATGTTATTGGCTGGGGGTGGCCAACTCAATATCACTCACATCGAGGCACACATCTCGCCTGGCCTCATGACGGGATGCTGCAACAGTTGTAAGTGTGAAAAATGGTCATAAGTCACCTTATTCAGTGCCATTGTAACTTTGAATGCTCATTCCACACGAGCAAAGTACCAGCAAAGGAGGGGGAAAAAACTCCAGACACGTTCCAGAGACAGGAAGTCTAGTCCTGCCAAGAATGTAATAAGGGTTAACAGGCAGTTTCTGTAAGCAACACCTTCTGTAAGCAACACCTTCCTTACAGGATTAGGCCAGTAATTTCTTCTAACAACGGGTTCTCCGAACTGCTTAGAATGTTAACTGATTCTAGCGAATAGGTACAAACTGGTAGAATCCACCCCTGGAATCAGCCAACAAAGAGAAACCATTTGGGACCAACTTTGTCAAGTCTCACACCACCACCTCATGCCAACAGGTCAGGCTATCATCTGACTTGCCTGCAAGAACCGGGAAATCCACAAGTGCCTGCAGGAAACCTGATGGATTCATTAGACCTCTAGGCAGACCACCTCAATGGTCCTAGCCTTGTGGATTGAATCAGGTGGCAGTCAATACAGTTAGAATAGGAAGTGATCTGCCTACAACAAAGAACAAATGGTAATACCCCCATAGTGAGATCACACAGCAATTATTCAGAGGCAAAACTGAGGTCTAACCTGTGATGGAAACTCAGATAACTTGGGACAGGCCCATCATTGCCACTGATGGCATGAACTCTACTAGAACAAGACTCATTCCAGCGACTGAAGTATTTCGAGAACCATCTCCAACGTCAAGTTGGACATCGGCCCAAAAGCTCAAGAAGGTTCTTAAAAGGACTACAAGATCTACGATACACCCCAAAGACCCCTAAGTTATCTCTGCAGTCAATCCAAACAATAGGTGCTCCTACATCAGCCCCCTCTGGAACAGGGACCCTGATCACCAATAAGGTGTCATGAAATTCAATGCACCCTAGCTGCTGGCCTGTCAACAGGTCCTGAAACCTGGCTGGGCAGATTTCTGAAGGTGACATCACCACTCTTCCCTCGGTCCGATCTCAATATTCCCCCCCACTTCTGTTTGTTTATCCACCTCCATCATGGATGTCTGTGGTCTAACTGGCCTTAACTACCAGCATTGATTTGAGGTCAGGAGCCCCACTGATTCAGCCACCAAGTGTCCAAGCAGAGGCAGTCAAAATGAAAGAAGAAACTGTCGAGATTGAGAGACCATTAATTAACCTGGAATGCCCCAGTTTCTATGATGATTCTGTTTTGCTTTTTGGACTGGCCCTAACAAGCAGAGCAGAGACCCTCCCCTGGAGATTGCCTGCTTGGTGGAATTCTGGCTCCCAGAATGATGCCGGCAACATGGTGAAGTCCAACTAATGGTTCCATGAGCAAGTGCAAGCAGGGCTTGTTTTTTTTTCTTTCGGTTGGAAAATGTAGTTTGGAGCAAAGCATGGTGATGCACAAAATCTTATGTACAAAGTACAGCCCAGGATTTTCAAACTGCTCGTGTAACCTGAGGGTTGTGTGATGAGGATTCAGGAAAAAGCAAAAAGATTTCACTCGAACACAATTGGTGGCATCTAAGGCAGAACGAAAAGGGTGGGTCTTTACAGCTGACACTCAAAAGCTTCTCTCCCTCCTTGGGGTTTGTGCTCCTGACAACTCATCATGGTGAGTCTGAGAGGGCAAGAGTTCCAGGAATGTTCAAGTTCCACGGACTGAAGTGGTTTGAAAAAACTGGCATTTCCCACCCTTCACCCCCGATGGTATCAAACTTGAAGTCATCCGCTGACACTAAATATTGATAGATTCAAGATGGAAGAATTATGTGGGCAGCAGTTTTGATTATAACACTGAATTTCAATGTTCTAAGAAGAGACTAAAGAGATTCACGGAGGAGGGTCGTCTGCTTACTAATGTCGATGTTTTTTTATTACCTCTTCATGGCAATATGTCTCAATACTGGCTACTGGTAAGGGTGGCTTTTGCAGGCCTGCGCCTTTCCAAGCACATCCCATTAGCCAACATGGGACACCAATACTAAACTGGCTGGATCCAGCAGAACACTCTCTGGGTTCTCCAGCATCTTTATTAATGATGTGAAAGATAGAAAGTATAAGATTTGAGAACAATGCGTAACTGGGAGAAGATGGAAATAAAATTCAAAATCATTTTAACAGATTAAACAAACACTGAAATTCAATGGAACAAATATAAATTTACATAGAAAACTAAAATCAAATTATGCTGGATAGGGAATACTTGGTTTGATCATTGTATTCATGAAAAAAGCCTTTGCAATACTTTGATGGCAAACCAAGTGGTCTGGCTGAAAAAACGAAGATATAGTCCCTAAATTGTGAGAAGTATTTAATCCACATTATTTTGATTTGATCAAACCCCACTTTAAATACTGTATCTAGTTCACATTTCCAGAAGGCTTCCAAGGAACTGGAAATTTTACAGAATTCCACAGAATGCTTTTAAATGTCATTATTTTTCAACCAATTTCTCTATCTTTTGAGAGTCATATTCAGTGGTGTTTAAAAGTTTGTGACTCTTTCTGGATTTTCAGCATTTCTGCATAAATATGACTTAAAACCGATCATGCCAAACAAATCTTTGACAAAGTAATTAAATTAATGGATCAGCAAAATGTGGTGGACATAGTATATTTGCATTTCAGTAAGGCATTTGACAAAATAGACCACAACCTACTTAGTAAACTAGAAAAAAGTGGCATAGACAGCATCACCACCAGATGGATTCATAACTGGCCAACAAACTGCAATCAATGTAGTTCTTAATGGAACTGTACATGGAGGGAAGTAAGCAGTGGGGTACCTCAAGGTTCTGTCTTAGACCCACCACTCTTCCGTATCTTCATAAATGGTTTAGATGAGGAAATAGAAGGGAAACTCATCATATTTGCGGAAAACATGAAGTTTGCAGGAATAGCCAAAACTCCAGAAGATAAGCTCAAGATTGAAAAGGATCAACACTCTTGAACACTGGGCCTGATCTAAAATGAAATTCGATGGTGAGAAAAGTAAGGTTTTATCTTTAGGCAAGAAAAACCAGATGTCTGTTCAGTGCACAGTTCCTAAAACTAGATAAAGAGAACTCAGTTAAACAGGTGAGTCAAATACTTGTTCATATATTTGAGGAAATAAAGCTACACATCTCTGTGTGACAAAAGTATGTGAACCTCTAAGATTATCAATTCATTTGAAGGGGAAGTTAAGAATCAAATAATTAATGGGACGATAATCAGGTGTGAGTGTGATAGATCCTGCTTTCTTTCTGGGTACTCACTATTAATGTGGGAGCATATCAAGATTTGTGAGGACATCTGAAAAAGTTGATGCTCACCAAGCTGGAAAAAGGTGACAAAACTATTTCCCAAGAGTTTGGACTCTGCCAATGTACGGTCAGGCAGATGGTCTACAGAGGCACCTCACCAAGCGGTTGACCAAGAGCAAGGGAAATAATTCTTCAAGAGTTCTCAAAGAAGCCCAGAATATTGTCTAGTGCACTAAAAGCCGCCTCTTGCATTGGCAGATGTGTTTGTGAGATCACCATCAGAACACTGAACAACCAGGGTGTGCCTGGCAGGGTTGCAAGGGGAAAGCCACTCCTCCCCAAGGAGGCGGCTGCTGGCTGTGTACGGATTGAGAAGACACCACGTGGCTAAACCAGAAAACCCTGGAAGAGGATTCTGTGGATGGATGAGATCAAAGTAGAGCTTTTGGCTTGAATAAAATGGTCAGGTTTGGGGGAGAGGCAAACCCTGCCTTCCAGCATAAGGACCTTATCATATACCGTATGTCAAACATGGCAGCGTCATGGTTTGGTTCTGCTTTGCTGCCTCTGGACCAGGATGACTTCCACCACTGATGGAACGATGAATCCTGAATTGTGTCCCCAAATTCTACAGCTAAAGCCAGGACGTGTCCTTGTGAACTGAAGCTCAAGAGAAAGCAAGACAACAATCCAAAATGCACAAGTTACAACTAAAGGATGGATAGAGCAGAAGAAAATTAATACTTTGAAACAGCTGTCAAAATCCTGACCTTAATCCTACAGAAGCGTTGGGGAAGGCTCACAACATCCTTGTGTCAAAGCTGTTTGGCCAGGAGGGAAGGGCTAAAATTTCTCCAAGCAGATGTTACAGGTGGTCCTCGTTTGTTCAATGACTGTTCAAAGTTGTGTCACATTGAACAAGAGGTATTGTACTTACAAGTTCTCAAAGTTCCGGTTATTGCAGCACCTGGTCACATGACTGCTATCTGCGTGCCAGGCTCACAATTACATCACAGTGAGTCACAATCACACCCCGCAAATTTTGACATTCCCTGTGGGCTCTTGGGAGGCTGGAAGTTGCAAACACACGAGGTCTTCGCTTAACCACCTATGCAGGTTTTGTTTAATGACAGCAACCAGGACTGCTGAAGTTGCCATTGCTAAGAGACGTGGTCATGGGAACATTGCACGCTTAGCGGCAGAGTTCCATTTCCAATTGTCACTGTAATCTGAGGACTATCTGTACAGTATTGGAAATGCTTAGTTGAAGTTATTGCTGCTTACAGGCAACACACACTACTGAATGCAGTTTCAGATACTTTGCCACAACACATACGTTGCTTTGGTTCATTTTCCTCAATAAATCAATGAACAAGTATATTGCTTTTTACTAATTTGTTTAATTGGGTTCTCAACTAGTTTTGGGACTTATATGGAAAACAGATCACGTTTTAGATCATATTTATGCAGAAACATTGAAAATTCAGAAGAATTTACAAACTTTTAAGCAACACTGTACAGTTGTAAATGTTTTGTACATCTGAAATAAAGTTTACTTTTTTACTTCTTCTTTGAAACAAAATTGCTATTGATTTTTGAAGAAATTACCAGACAGTGGACTTGCAATAACCTAATAGGGACCAGTTGCAGGGCTGCCTTTCACTGATGTCTCATAGCCTGGTGGAATCTGGAGGTAGGGAGCCCCTTTGAACATATTCCCCAGTAGTAACTGATCATCCAACCTTCTTGTTCTTTCCTCTCTTCAGGGCTAATGTTTAAATAAGTATTATACATGCTGCAAAAATGCTTTAGACCTTATGCCGGCTAAGCACTTCTGCTCTTCAGTAAAATAACCTGGATTTGTTCCTGGCTTCTACACTGCCCAAATGCCTCTTCTTCAAATGAGTGAACCTATATTAAACCATGCAACTTTTAAAGTAGCTGTGCTATTTTGTCCCTCAGATGTGTGCAGAAAATTGGGTGGGGGATTTTTATCAAAAGGAGACAAGTGCTGTGCTTACATGAGGACCAAATCACAACTTCTACATAATTTTTGAAGTAAGGCCAGTATTCATTTCCACAAATTCCCTTCACCTATTTATAAGACTGTCCACACTTGCATTTTGTCTCAAATTTGTTCCAAAGTGGTACAGTGGTGGACTGAATTCCACCCGAAGCCTGCCCAATACCAGGACGTTTCTGGTTTCTTCAGTGATTGAAATAAATGAAAATAATCAGCAATGTGCAAATCCAGTTTGAGTACTAACACCCCCCATTCCATCATGCAATACAGTAACACAAAGGAAACGCAACCTGGTGTTCCCTAAACCCCTTCCTGGTTTAGGGTTTTGGTAGGATCTTGTTCAGGCTACGTGTATCTGACTGCTTGACCTGGCAAAAAAGACCCCGGCGAGAGCAAAGTGAAGGCTTTTCTCATTGCCCTCATTGTCCTCCTGCAGTAGAATAGCCCCAAACCCAGAAGGTTCTGACTTTGCCAGGGCAAACCTCCACCTGGGCTCCTGCCAGAAGAGGCCACTTGTGCTGCGCAAGGAGCATCCCTTTGAACAGAGGCCTCAAAATCTTCATCTCTTCGATTAGAAAAAGCCAAAGCTGCCACCGCTTGCTCAAATTCCTGTTCTCAGCATGTAAAGGAGACAGGAACAGAACGTGGGGGGGGGGGGGGGGGAGAGTCCAGAGACCACCCCCCCTGCACAAAGTGAAGGGTTCTTGCGATGAGGAAACAACACCTCGCCCATATTACAAGAAATGTTTGAGCGTGACAGTTTAATTGGAAAAAGACAAAAAGAACAATATGAAACATGATAGATATGACTCAAGTACCATACATTTTCCCCTCCTCTGTATCAACATTTTTATATGAACACAACAATTAGTCCAATTAATAGAGGGGCTTAAATATATTTAAATCATGTAAAATATTTTCAAAGTTGCTAAAAGGTACAATGCTTGGCCAATGAACAATACAGGAATATTTGTACACCTCATTATACAAAGAGACAACAAATCAAGTCATCAGTCGTACAACAGCATTTTGTTTGGCCTTCCCACCACACAAAAAGCCGGGCCCTGCAACCCTTTGCCCCTGCCAGACCTTGGAAAGAAAACGGTTTGCTCCCTCTTCTGAAAAAGTGAAGAGTCCATTTATTACGTCAATACGATTTTGTACTAACTAGTTCACCTTTAGTATTAGTTAAAATCATGCTGGTAACTTTTTATGCTCAGTTAAACATGTAAATGCATCAAATTAAAATTCCATGTTTTAAAAATGTCTGATATTAGAATGCCAGGATTTCAAGGGTCACGTTCACCATTCCTCTCACTTTCCATATGTGCCGGAGTGCATCTTAAAGGCAGACAGGCTGGCAGGCATTAGAAGTACCATCCATGGAGATCCTGCAACTTGACACGACCTGGAGAATTTTGTGGGTTCACACCCAGAGTGATGACAAGTGCTGGATACCAAAGAACCAACGGTTAGAGGAAAGTGACGGCAGCAGCATCAAGAGTGGCAGCTTCTCGTGAAGAGAGATTTCCAAGCTCCCCAAAACACAGTTGCATGATAAATCAGAAGGTCACAGTAATAATCCAGGCCCCACATGATCTGGGCTCGGCTACCTTAACTGGTCTAGGGCAAAGCCAGCAATGCAAACTCCACTCATTTGCAGCAAAAGCCAACGTAATCAGTGTCAGCAGAACGTGGGTGGGTGGGTGTGGGGGGCGGGGTGGGGGGGAGGGGGCGTGTAGAAGCTCCACCAGAAGCACAAAAGCAAGCAAAGCAACCCTGAATTCCACTGGCTGGGCTTTTCCTCCTCCTCCTCCTCCTCCTCTTCCTCCTCCTTTTCCTCCTCAGAAGAACAGTTCGGCGGCCCTGGAGCTGGAGGTGAGCCAGGCGTGGAAGAGTCCTCCGTCTGGGGGCACGTGGCACTCTAGCAGCAAAGGAGTGAGATGGGCACTGAGGGGCAGTCTCATTTCGCAGCATTCTGGTGATATCTGTGTCGCCAAACCTCTTGTATCTTTTTGCACCACTTATGAGCATTCCCACTTGGGTCCATCAGGTAGTATGTCCTGTTAGGCTGTAAGTAAAGAAGACTCAGTGCCTGTTCATTTCAGCGGCCAGTTAATATATTGCCAGCAGCAGGGTTGGCTTTAGGCACGAAGACCTTTGTGCAAGCTCCTGCCCACTGGGACTTCCCCTGCTACGTGTCACCCAGGGTCCTAAGGCAAATCCACAGGGCTGCTCCCTACTTTCTGCTGCCCCTGAGAGGAAATCGCTGCAGACGCCAAGCTCAGAGTTTCTGGCATTTGGGCCTATTTTGTTTCCCAATGAGGGATTTCTCACAGCTCCTGTTCTCAGAATGGGCTAAATCTCCCCCCACCTCACCCCCACACACTTTAAAATCATTTGGATGAACATCCCAGCACAGAATTTAAAGGAATACAGGAAAACCCCACTTGAACTGGCTGGGCAGGTCACTTACTGTGTGGACAAAAAAGGTCTTGAAGTTCTTTGCTTCTGGTCGGAGTTCCAGTGACCAAGGAATCTCCCCTTTCAGGACTTTGTTGACAGGGTCAACGTAGTACAGGTGTGGCCCTTCCGTGAGCAGCAGCTGTCGCCGGCGGGCAAACAGCCCCTGTGGAGAAGCACATGGCACCCAGAACCCATTAAAGGTTTGTTTAAAAGCACAATCAGTACACACAGTTCTACGAGGTACTGTTTGGGACCTTACCTTCTAGTTCCAGAAAATGAAGCCATCACAAAAAGTTATAGTTATGTCAAAACTACTATAACCAATTCCTTAAGTTGGGAAACTAAACAATTCAACACTTTCCAAAAAGCAGAATTGAACAATAAAGCTTGATTTAGACTTGTCTGCAACGGTTGCATTGTGAAGGGTCTGATGTTGTAAGCATAGGTTGCAGGTGGTTGTAGATGGGCCGACACACACACACACACTTCCCAAATCTCAACTATGAGTCGTGTGATGCGCCTCCTGCATGCTGATTAGTTGATCCAACTTCCTGATGGGCACCTCGTTCTTTGAGTTGTTTAACACTCACAGAAGTACAAATGCAACAGCCACGCAACCTTCTCTGAATGAGAATCAGATGTTCCCTGATGTGCAGTGACACGGAAGTCTAAACTGCCTTGCCAGAGTTCCTGTCTCCCAGGAAAAGCCCCACTTCTCTGTCCTCAGGCCCAAGAGTTTAGGGCCACTAAAAGCGGCCTGTCTCCCTGTTCAGGATGCTAATCACCACAGAAAGCCTTGGGAAGGGAGGGAACAGGAAAACCCTAACCCGCTTCAGGATGGAAAGCCAGGGCTGTTGAATGATTGCTTTAGTTGCAAGTCATGGTAGTTTTCCTTTTAGTGCATTCTTTCTTTGTGAGCTGCTTTGGGTCTCCTTGAGTAGAGCAGCCTATAAACTGTGGCAAAAGAGAAGCAATAAAATAAGAACCAATGACGATGGAACCCAAAGCTGTACACAGTCCCCAAGTCTTCTAAGTCAGGAATGGGGCATTTTTTTGTCTCCAGGGCTAGTCTCTGTTGTTTTAGGGCTAGGAGAACCTCACTACAATGTCATTAAACTGGAGCAGCACCCACATTTTTGCCCAGGCATGGATAGTAAGCAATGAATAGGTTTCCCTAACAGAGATGCTCCAGCTGCCCCTCTCCTTGTAAGCCACCAGCCCAGGATAATCTGCAGCTTTCATGCTCTGGTTCCCTTCAGTTTAAAGTGCCATTATTTGGGCTGCTGCTCCTCCCCTCTGAAATGCCAATCTCCTAAATGCCTTTGTAGCCCCAGCTCTGCTCTGCTCGTAAGGTAATGGCAAGAGGGCAAAGGCCAAAGTGTTTGGGCATCCCGGGAGGCGACTGAAGAGCACTTGTTGAAACTTTTTTATCTTCTTCTTTTAGAACCTAAATGAATATAAGAATGGGGTTCAAGGGTTCTTGCAGTTGTTTTGGCGCCTATTTTTTTGGTATTATCTTTGCCTTCTTTTGCCACAGCTGTTATTCTTCTATTTGCAACTCTTTGAATTGTATGATTTTTTCCCCCACTTCTTTCTGTTCTATTCTGGTATCTCCAGGTCCTGCCATGTATTATGGTCCATTTATTATTACACACACCTAAGAACCTAAGTGCAACCAAAACACCGTTTATGTGAACATAACCTGCTTCTGTTACAGTACCTGCAATCCTTCACCGATGCCTCTTCCTAAACAATTTATCTATCAAAAGGTCAACCCAAAAATCTGAATATGCAACTAAGGCAGATTTTGCGGGATTGTTTTATTTGCCTCCCAATCACATTGTAGCAGGAGCATTTTTCAAAGACTTGGTCATCCTTGGGCTTTTCAGAATGTCCAGAACAAGGGACTGACCGATCGTGTTCTGGAATGCTCCCCAGGAAAGGCCTGGGAGTTCCAGAGCGCCTCCCATCGCTGGTGCAAAGAGGTTGGCTACAATGGCTAACTCTGGTCCAAGATTTCTACAACTATCTTCCAGCAGGCAAGCAGTTTACCTGCCATTATTCTAGGGCCATCACCACTCAGTGCATCCCCCTTTCCACGGATTAAACCACACCCAGGGTGACCCTTGCTTAGGGTCCCTCCCCAAGGCCTTTCTCTTTCATGCTACCGTTGCAGCACAGGAACTGGAAGGAGTCCCCACCTTCTGCCTCCCTGAACTGAATATTCGGGGGCAGCTGGATTCCACTCTTGTAACTTTGGGGGTTTCCTGTGCTGTGTTCCCAGAAGGCATGTCAAGCAACAGGACCAAGCAACTTACCTTTCTCTTGTCTACGGGCCCCATTTTCAGTATTAAATTGTTTTCTACAAACTGGTGCCTAAAGAGGAAACATCAGAGCACATCATTCCATCATACTATCTTTGAGCCTCCTCAACTTGCAACATGAGACAGCACAACCCCTCTGAGAACCAGAAGAGGAACATCAATCATCTTTTGGGACTGATTTTCATGTGCCAAGAAAAAACAGTCCTAACAACGTTAACAAAGATCCAACATTTTGAGTCATAAATTGACTGGATTCTTAGAGTTTAATTACTGTATTTTTCAGAGTATAAGACGGACTTTTTCCACCCCAAAATGGGTGGAAATGTCTGAGTGTCTTCTACAGCAAATGTGGCCCCACCCTCCTGCCAGCGCCCCACCCTTCGGCCTCTGCCTCCCAGCAATTTACCTCCTTGCAGCAAAGAGCCTGGTCAGCTTCCGCACAGCCGCTGATTGTCAGTAGGATCGCCTCCCGACGATCAGCTGTTTCAGGCTGCAAGGGTCACCATTGCCTCTTGCCGCCTCCACGTGCCCCATTTTTGGCCTCCAGGCACCCCATTTTTGGCTCATTCTGATCCCCGCTGCCTGGTACGGGCTGAAAAGGGAACGCACGGAGGCCAAAAGTTGAGTGCGCTGAGGCGGCAGCAATCCCCACAGCCTGGAACAGCTGATTGGTGGTATTCTGGGAGGCCCATCCAACCACCAATCAGCTGCTTGTGCTAAATCAGGCTATGCTGAAGCTGACTTTGCTGTTTGTTGCAAGGAGGCAAATTGCTGGGAGGCAGAGGAAGATTTTTTTCCCCTTGTTTTCCTCCCCAAATCTAGGTGCATTTTATACTTTGGAGCACCTTATTTTGCCCCCAAAATATGATAATTAAATTTTCTGAATCCACCTCTTCCAAATTAGAATCTCCATCCTCATAATCAAGCAGGAATATATAGCTTCAAGAATAAGCGTTTGGTAGTTTTTTACAATAACTTCTGAGAACCAAAGCTTCAAGTCTGCTGCTATCTTTCCACCAGCTTCTCGAATTCTGAAAGCTTGCAAAGCTTTAAAGAAGGGCTGGAGAACTTGTGGCCCTCTGTACATGGTCAGGAGACCACCACTTCTCATCTTTTGGGTGGCTACAAGTTCCAGAAGAAGTTTCTTCTGCTTGCTACACTTTTATGCCATGTTGTTTAGTGATTTTTTCTTAGACAACTCCTAAGAAAGCCTTCTCTTCTCTCTGCACTTCAAGAATAGCAGCAGAAGTTCTAACGTTTTCTCAGCAACAGGAAATTCTCGCAGTGTTCCAAGAAAACCTCTTCCATGTTGCCACATGGGCTTGCTTGCCCTTCTTCCTTCAATCTGAACAATTACTTCATTTCACGTTAGTCATATTCACCTTCTTGTCTCCTTCTGGTCTGACCTTAAATTCTGTGTTCTTTTAAGCCCATCTCCTCTTTATTCCTCCTCTAAGGCCCTCCTCTAGATTCAAGATATTGAGAAGTTCTAGGGGACAATATTGTATTTATTAATTATTTCTTTATGCCACTCATCTCTTCTATAAGGTGACTCTGGGCGGCTTACCGGTTACAAAACAAGTAGGTAAACAATTCAAATGTATTCGAATAGTAAAACTGCAGAGATTAAAATTTTAAAAACTCAGCTGAGAGATCTCGAGACTTACCAAGGATTGCCCCCAGCCTGCTTTGCCAACAGCAGCCTTTTCTCCTCTTCAGAGAACTGGAGGTCCAGCTCAAAGGAATTGCTGTCCAGGTCATGGATGTATTGCTCTATGTTGTTTCCAGAAGTCTGCAAGGGACCCATTTCTGGGGAAGACAGTGACTGAGAAGAGGTGGAGGTGGAAACTTGCATGCAGCCAAACTGACTCAGAAGGTTGTCATACTACAAAATAAAAGCAAGCGCTGTTTAGCACTTGGCCCCAAATACGGAGGTGCTGAGACAGATGAAATGACAGGGCTTTTCTGCCTTTATCCCAAAGGTGCCTTGTTTTTAACTGGACTTTCTTGATTTTTCTTGAAGATGTTTTGCTTCTCCTCCAAGAAGCTTCTTTAGTTCTAACTAATGGAAATAGAAGGATTTACACCCTTTTCACTCAACCAGTCATTAACTTATGTCTTGCTACGCTGGACTGCATAAGCACAACTGGAGTAATGTCATATATGCCGCGCAACGCAGCAAGGCATAGGCAGACCTGTACATTAGGGAAACAAACAAACAAACCACCCACTCCGCAAAGGCCTGAGGGCCCAACACCAGAGAACTGATCATCAGGGCAGGATTCAGCAGTCCTGGAAAGAGGCACCAGCTTGGCCCTGCTGGCCGCTCTTGATCTGGCCACCCCAAGGCCCAGACCTAGCACTGCGGTCCAGGATTCAGCTGTTGTAGTTTGCCGGCATCCCATCCTGTGCAGACGGCAGCAGAATCGGACAGTGGGGAAGAACGGGGACCAGTCTGGGAGTCTGGGGAGGACTTGGACATCCCATGCAGATATGGGGCCAGGACCATCTGGAGTTATGTGCTGACTCCGGAGCTTCCAGAATCTGACAGCAGCGAGGCAGAGGAACTAGGGGGACCCTGTTCCCAGTGCATGTGTGCGCAGAGCTGCTAGAAGGTGAGAGCAGCTAAGAGAAAAGGGGCAACTTGGGAGTTAAGGCTTGGAGGTGATTGCCCCTCCCATAAGGTATGAGGAAAGTGCAAAGGTAGAGAAACGCTTGCAGGAAGCAGTCATTCGCTCTGTTTGGATTAAACCTCGAAGCTCTGTGTGGACTTTGTACTTCGTTTGGCTTTTTACAGTTAATTTGGCACTTTAATTGTTGGCAGCCATTCAAAGGAAAGAAAAGTGAGTGCTTATCTCAAGGGACTGTTTGGGACTCATTATAGGCTGGGAATGAACATAATTCCCAGCACTGAAATAGAGAGTTGTTTGGACTAAGCATGTGCTTAATTACGGTCTCAGGAAGCCTTGGTCAGAGCATCAGCTGAGCCATAGCATGATCCCACCCAGAAATGTCCAAGCGATGGATTTCTTTTATACCCAAATCAAAACGTATTTCTGCCCATTCCCTACAGCGGATACTCTCTTCAGGAATGCAAGGCCAGCCTTGGGGGATAGGCGGACCGAAGTCGATGCTCCAAGAGACACAAAGAGCCCCCTTCCCGGATGGGGATGACAGGGCAAGCAGGAAGGCTGTGGAGAAGCAGCAGACCCACCGGAGCTGATCCAGGCGCATCCCTCAATGGAGGGAATCAAGGTTTCCTGGAATCTGTCAGCTGTGGACACTTACATTCCCATAGCAATCCTCGTCATCTTCAGACATGGCAGGCAAGTAGGCTGTGAGCTTGGGAGGGGTTTGATGATGCAGATTTTCCCAAGTGATGAAATCAAAGAATGGGTGGGCCCTCAGTGGTCCATAGCTTCCCATTTCTTCACATCCTAACCGTTTGGTAGCATCAAGAACCTGATTAAGAAAGGACAGTTACTTTTCCCCTGAAACTGCTCAGCTTCCCAGGACGTTTTATTTGGGGAGGGTCCCTCCCCAAAACACACAGCCGGAGGACTTGAAATTTGATGTTAACTCTTTCTAGAGAGGATCAAAAGAACTGCATGGGTCTAAATTAAAAGCTGAGCCCCCTCCCGCCCCCACCTGGAGTGCAGCCAGGCTGAAGCAAGCCCCTTGGCGTGCAAAAATAGGCTGCTCTGCCTCTCTCTCAACTTCAGTAACAGCCAAGACAATTGTAACAATTACACACACTTTTATAGATTACTATAAACTCAATCCCTGGGAAAATTTGACTGCAGTGCATTATTCATAAAATAGCTGAGTAAAATATTTTATATTTAGAATTAAATGAAGGTTACTTATTTAAAACAAGTTTTTTTTCAACTAGAACGCTTGAGAAAAAGAACCATTGGTTGTGAGTTTGCTAACCATGGAGAACAATTCTATTCAAATATGGCAAGGATATCCCTGGTTTATGTTATATTCATTGTTTTCACCTGAAGAATATGCCAATTACACCTCCTGTAATTTTAAGCTCCTCTCCTTGTTAGAGAAGCTGAGCTTTTCTTATCCAACGTTCACTACAGAAAACAGGAAGCAGGAACAACTGTGAAGATCAGCAAAAGAAGACCTCTGAAGACCTAGCACCAAACATGGCCAGAGCAGCGGAGGAAGACCCCCAAAGGCACCCTGGTAGGAGTAGCAATTTCTTAGAGACAGGCGGCAAGAAAGAATGGATGAATCAGGAAGTTTTGGTAACACCTATTACTTCACAGCATCCTGGAGATCTTAAGCAGGAGATCCTGGACCAGAGGTAGGGAACTATGGACTTTTTATGACTGGCGGACTTCAATTCCCAGAATTCCTGAGCCAGCACTCACAACCTCTGAAGGCAAGCTGTCCCACTGATGAATTGTTCTGTCAGGAAAGCCTACATAACAGCAGAACCCGGCATGACAACAGAAGGGACTTTCATTGTCACAAAGGTCAACAAAAACAAACTTCTCCACTTGATACACAACAAACTCCCTGAGCTGTTTGATACTGTGCTGGACTGGCAGTAGTTTCCCAGAGTTATGGTACCGGGGGGTATTTTCTTCCTTTGGGCCTGGAATTGGGAGGCAGCTTGGAAATGCGTGGACACCGTAACAGCCACAGACCACATCCAGGTCACTGAGGGCTCAACTCACACTCTATGCTACCTCTGATTTGGGTCTCACAGCAGGAGCAATAGGACCTGGAGTTGGAGGAGTTCATTATTCATTTTTATTTAGGTATTTATCAGATGCAAGGCTACTTGACTCCAGAATGACTTTGGGCAGCTTACTCTATGAAGATTTTCTTTTTTAAAAAAAAAAATAGAAAACAAGAAAAAGGTACCTCTTTGGAGACACATTCCAGGCATTTCACAAAACAGATCCAACAGGAGCTCAACAGCCTGGTTTTTATAGCTTTTCAGAACATCGTTAGGGTGGGATCCATACTGGGATGCTATTCCAGGTGTGCTTCCTGGATGCTGCCAATTAGAGACTTGGCAGTGCACTAATTCTGCCTGACCTTACCAGATGGATAGAAAACCCTGGGTTGAGACGTCCTCCAGATGCAACCAGGCCTTGTGCCACACAGGGCTTTACAGATGACAACCAGCACCTGGAATGGCATCCATGCTAACAAGGCAGCTTGTAAGAACTGAGCCATGCCCATCGCTGCTGCCTACACCACTGCATTCAGGACCCTTCAAGGGCAGCTCTTTGTAGAGCACACTGCTGTAGTCCAGTCCCTAGGTGATGAGGCATAATGCCATCTCTGTAAAGTATTTGTCAAGGCCTTTCACGATATCCTTGCGGAGAAGATAGATAAACATGAGCACAGTGTAATTGATTTAATTGATCAATTGATCCAACTGATTTGCAACTGGTTGAAGAATCCCAACCAGAGTTCATGTACAAGTGTCAGCATCAGTCTAGGAATTACTGAGCTTCATCTTTAGAGCTAACTTATTCACTATTTTATAAATAATTTTGTGGCAGAATGGAAAGGAAGCCTATTTATTTATCTGATGTGATTGTTGTTGCCGTTGGCTGCCTGGGGAATTCTGGGACCTGAAGTCCACACATCTCAAAGTTGCTGAGATTCAGAAACACTGGACTACTGAGTTTGTATTACAAGAGTTTTCAGGATGAACTTTGATAACTTTTACAAAGCATGACGAATCCTATTTTACAGAGAGGAAAGATGCCAGAGACCTGGAAAGAGGCTAATATATCAGTAATACCTAAAGAAGATCAAGCTTGACTTTAGGAAGAAATTACAGACCAATATCATTACTGAATAATAACTACAGTGGTTCACAACAATCCTAGCTGATAGAGTGAAAATAATTTTGCAATCTATTCATGAGGACTACTGTGGATTTTCACCTAAAAGACAGCTAAGGAACAATGTTAGAACTGTTTGAATATTCTGGTACAATTAAATCCAGATACTTCTTTTGAAATCATGGGACTTTATCTTTGTATATGACAGCTTCAGTGAGACTATTCTATGCTAAAAATGCAAAGATTCAATATGCCCCACAATGGAGGAATAGTTGGTGAAAATACTGGAACTTCTGGAGAATGGCTAAATTTACTCTTTGATTAGACAAAAATATATATATTTATGGCTGACTGGAAGCTACTTACAGACTTTTGCATGAAAGAGAAAAAAAGCACTTGTGACTTGTGGTTTAGGGGAAAACATTAGATAATAGAAAAAAAGTGACCTAACCATACTTGCATTTGCTGCAAAGGAAACCAAAGCTTCCTCTGTTTCTTTCTTTTTCTGCACTTTTGCCTTTTCTTCTTTATCTTTGTTTTCTTTATTCTGTCTTATGTGCTCTTTAAAGCTTTTGTATTTTAAAAAAGAGAAAATGTTCTCTTGCCTCATTTCAGTTCCATAAGTTATACAGTTCCAACTTCTACATTTCAGTCATGCTTAGATGTTCTATCAATTTCAAACTGGATTTGATCATGAGACTCATTAATCTCCTGCATGAGGTGAAGGATAAATTTGAAAGATTTGTCACATTAAAGGGCTGACTACAAAGCAATTGAAATCATGGGTCATGGATTGCACCGTGTTCTTGCTAGCCTGTTCCTGCTTTGTTGTTCCTATCCCTGAGAATTAGCAGAGGAATGTGCTGAGAGATTTAAGGGGACTGGAATGCGAGGCCCCTGGGGAACCGTTCCATATTTAGGCAATTAACAACAACAACAACAACAAAATTATCATAGAAATCTATACACTTCTAAAAGTTTGCCCTGTGCAAGCAGAATGAACTTGTCTCTGCTGAAAACAAGGGCAGGACAAGGATGAGTCGGAAGCTGAGCTGAACACCTGGAGAAATTCTCTAAGCAGTGAAACAGCTGACCCACAATGGGAGGTTTTCAAGTAAAGGCTGGATGGCCACCTGGGATGGGTTGGTGGATTCCCACACTGAACACACATTTCCATTTGAGAGAGAGAGGGGTGGGGTGGGGATCAATGCATTTAAACAGGCCTTGCCTGCCGATAACCTATTTTTATTAGCATGGTTGAGAATCCTCTTTCACTATTGTTCCTTAACAGCTGTTATTTAATCCTGACTAACTATAAAAAGTAACGAAGATGACTTTGTCCCAGGTGGCAATAGCACTTAAAGCTTACCTACTGCCTCACAGGGCTTTACCGGCCTCTCTAAGCATCAGCATATTGCTGTTGTGGCCCACCAGCTGCCAGCAGGGCTGGCGGCAGAATTGGACTATGGGGGGGTTGAGGAGGACCTCGGGCCAGTTCTGGAGTCTGGGGAAGGCTCTGATGGATGCTCTGTGTCAGGCGCAGAGATAGAGCCAGGGCTGCCTGACATTTCCCAGCCACCGGAGAAGCAGCTGTCTTGGGAGGCTGATATGAGTGAAGAGGAGGAACAGCTGGAGCCTGTTCCAGACACATGTATGTGCAGAGCTGTTGTTAGGAAAGAGGAACGATGGAAGTCAAGGAGTTGACTCGGGAAGCAAAGCACGCATGGATGCTGAATGGCCCCTCCCTGGCTGGAGAATAAATAGAAGGGGAGTCGATGGAGACCACAGTTGGTCTTTCTGAAGCTTTTGCTCATTGTGTTTCCTGCCACAGAGACTGCTTGCCAGAACTTAATTTGCAGTCTTTAGGCTGAGAGCTTATCACAAGGAACTGATAAGGTCTGTTGCTGCTGTTAACTCTTTGAAGGACTATTGCCTGGACTTTTCGGTGGGTGAATGCAATTAATTCACAAGAGGTAAATAAAGAAAGGGGTTTTTCGTGACAAGGAATCTGTTTCTTGCTTCTGCTAAGACTGGGTTAGAACAATTGCCCCCAACAATCTGGGTCCTCATTTTACAGTTTGAGCCTGGTGAGACCTGAACTGCCGAACTGCCAGCACTCAGCAGAATTAGCCTGCAGTCCTGCATTCTAGCCATCGCACCACCACGGCTCCTGCACGCCAAGAGTGATGAGTATGGAATCTGAGGGTTTGTTTAAAGGAATCCTTTGCTTTTTGGCACTCAATCTCCAATGAATGCTCCTTGACTGTACTATACGGGTTTGGAATTACTGTCACTACGTGATTTCTCTTGTGACATCACACTTTATGACTGAATCAATTAGTGATGGCAATTGAGTGAGGACTGTGTGGGTCATTAAACAAGGATCACAACTCCCAATTTCCTGCCAGCTTTCCCACTGAATTTTCTTGTGGAAAACCAACAGGGAAGGTTGGATATGATGGGACTGCAACAGCCAGAACTCCAAAGAGTGGCTGCAAGTCTTCCTCTCTTAGCGGCGCAGTGAGTTCAAACGGTTACTGAGCGGTTGTAACCTTCAAAGGAGTATTTTTTTCCTATCCTACCTGTGAACACTTAAGCCCTCCAGAACTCCTCTGGAAAGGACCCCAGTTGCTTTATCTACCCGAAGAAAAGGCTGCTCCTTCTCTTCCCCAAAGGCTTTCAATGGGCTCTGGCAGGCCAAGAAACCTGGTACCCTTCACTTCACAGAGGATTCTCCAGTCCAGCCAGACGGGAGGCTGTGCTGCCTCCTACCTTTCCCTTCTCTCATTATCCTTGGTCAGAAACTGATCTAATATGGCTATACAAAAAATGAATGAATGAATGAAATAGGTACCGGCCCTGCTTATTCTCATGATTTAATCTCCGCTTGGGTATCCCAGACGTTCCTGTTTCTGCGTGATGGGCACCTTTTTTATTTTGTTGGACACATTCGTCTTGCCGTCTATCTCCAGCCTCTGCCTTTGCTCTTACAGGAATCCTTAAAAGTAGCTCTGCTCCTCCTGGGATACGAAACAACTGCCCTTCCATAGTACCCTGAAGGGAGCGGGTGCAACAGCCCGGTCAAAGGGGGAGGGAGGCAGATCAGTGACGGGGACCGAGGGACGAGAGGAACTCATTGCAAGCACTTGGGGCCAGCTCCCCTCGCATCCAGCATGCGGTGCAACTGCGTCACCGTCAGAGTATATTCATGAACTGAAACAGAGCGTGGTAACATGGTCAGCCAATGAATAGGCATGGCAATTAAGTCAGCCAATGAGAACTGTTTGGAAACTGAAACTAGAAGTAGCCTAGGCATGGCTCTATATTAAGCTCTGCAGCTCTGAAGCTATGTTGAGCTCTGTTTACTGAAAATGAAACTAACTTGCTTACTTGCCTGCTGAAGTTACTTGCAACCTGTTTCTGTCTGAGTTTGCTCCATGTTGGAGAAATCTACAACTTGTTCGTAAAATTTACTTATTATGTTTATAAATACGTTAAATGAAGCATCAGCTATCTGTGTTTATTGTTCTGGCGCTGAATTAACGCTGCAAAACTCTGAACAGTCACTAACGCCTTACTGGGGTTGGCTGGCGTGTGCCAACCCCTCAGCAGACACAGCCGCGCAGGCCTGACCTTTTGCTCAAGCAAGGAGTCCCTTCGGCTGGAGCGCAGCAGCTCCACAGTGTAATATGACAATGAAGACTCAATCCCCCAGGCCAAAAAGTTATTTAAAAAAAATAAATCAGAGCAACTGGTCCAAAGTATATACTTTGGTCCGGTTGCTCTGAGTTAACTTCTTAAACAGCTCCTCCACATGGCTACCAGCAGAGCAGGCCTGCAAAGGACGGGCAGGCGGCCGAGGGGCTTGAAAGAAAACAAACTGATAACAGATTGAGAATTAGGGCCTTGATTAAAGGTGTGAAAAAGTGTGAAAAAAGACTTGTTGAAGAGGAAGCTCTGATGGTAATCAAACTCAAACCAGTTGGGGGGGGGGGGGGGGGGACTTGGAGAACACAGCTAAATGTTTTACATTTGGTTTTTCCCCTGGATAGCAATGTTTATTTACCAGAAGCTTTTCTACAAGATCTTTCGCCTTGGGAAAGAACTTCTCTGGGAAGTCATATTCCAGTTTGATTATCTTTTGAAATATGAGATATTCATTTCTGCAAAAACAACAAGAAAGTGTCACATTAATGTAAAATCCTAGGTAGCAAAGGAAAAAACACATCGTATCACACAAGAGGGTTATTTCTTCATCAGCAAGGAAATAATTCTCTGCTGGAAGGGGGTCAGAGGACATTATGCTGCAGTGACCAGACAAAGTGCTGCAAATCTGCACTGAATACATCCAACTAGACACCAGCTTGAGTCACACATTTTGGTTAAGCCATGGGTGAATCATGTTTGTCTCTGGAAGTTAACCCATATTAACCCATTTGTGGCTCAATATATTAAAACAACTGTGGTCCCAAAACTATAGTTTGTTTCTTAAAATTGAATGAAACCACAACAACTGTAGATTTCAACAAACCAGCCAGCAGGTGTCAAAGCCTTAAATGACGATTAGCCAAAATCAAACAAATTGGCAGTAGAGAGAGCAACTCAGCTGCAACTGTGGAGAGTCTGGCAAGAGGGTCCACAAGGAAGTTCCCTTTTTAATTCCCATTCAGTGTCTCTTAAGGGAATCCAGAGACCAGAGACAGGCAAAAGCAAGGAACCTGGCTAGGAGGGAGCCTTATTAAGCAGAGCCAGAAATTCCAACCCCTCCCCGTTTCTCCTTTGCCTCCCACTAGATGAGCACTCTCTTTCAAATCGTACCCGGGAAATCCAATTCAGGACATGGCCTTACCCAGCTCGGAACGGTGGCAGCCCTGCTACAAGCTGGTACACGATGCAGCCCAGCGCCCAGAGATCGGAACTTCATCAGCAAGAGGGACAAAGGGAAGAAACAAAGCACAGGAATTAATATTACATAATATTAATTATTAATATTATTCACCAGAAACAATTCCACAGAGCTTCACCTACTACCCAAGGCATTGCTGGCAAAGGATCTGTCATGCCCCTGTTGGAATCTGATTCTGAGGAGGAGGCCGAGCAGCTGACAGGGAGTGGGTGTGCAGCTTCATTGGCTGTGGAAGGAAGTGGGGAAGGGCAAAGTCTGGCTGGGCAGAGCAGGGGAGAGGTAGAGCAAGGGAGAGGGAATTCAGAGGAAGACCCAGGCCCATCCCCCTCTTCATCCTAGGGCACGCAGGGAGGAACGGAGAAGGGAGCAACGTGAGTTGCATGGCTTTTGGGGGAGGAAAGGGCCCTGATTCCCTTCATTAGCTGCAGCACTTTAAACACTCTGAGTGTTTAAAAAGGGAGATTGCGCACAGCAACTTGTTGGAAGCAAATCATGTGTTGTTTGGTTGAGGCTTATCTTGGTTCCTGGCATCTTCCCAACTGTGTGTGTTTTATTGTCTGGAATTCCTTCTCCTGTCCTGTTCAGTTAATTGCTGCATTGCGGTTTGTGTGGATTTTTATTTATAGTTTATATGTACTTTGTTTTTGGACTGAATTTCCTCCACTGAAAGACTGTTCTTCAGAGAGTTTTTTCTCCAGCCGAAGGTAACTGGACATTGGGGGCAAAGTTGGAGGTATTAAAGGGACTTTTCTTACTTATGTGACTGTGTTGCTTTTGTGCCATGCCCCTTTGGGTCATCACAAAATCAAATCTTCAGAGCCTTGCAAAAAAACTGGGGGCCAATTTTATCTCTGTGGGGTGAGGGAGGGAGCCACCACAGAGAAGGCCCCTTTTCTTGGCCCCACTAGATGAACTTCCTTAGGGGAAGGAAGGACCCGCAGCATTCCAATCTCCTCACTCTGGTGGGTCAGGTAGATGTGACCAGGAGAAGATGGTCCTTCAAATAACCTGCTCCCAAGCCACGTAGGGCTTTAAAGATGACAACCAACACTTTTGAATTAGAGCCAGAAGCAAATCAGCAGCCAATGCAGCTTCCACGGGAGAGAGAACACATGTGGACACATCTAGGCCACCAGAAAACCGTGTAGGCCACTGCATTTTGAACCAACTGAAGCCTCCCAATACTTTTCAAGGGCAGCCCCATGTGCAGTGCATTGCCAGACATGAGACGACGAGGATGTGAGTGACTGTGAGCAGAGATTGTTGGTTCAGGAAAGGGCACAACTGATACGCAAGCGGCACTGTGCAAAGGCCCTCCCAGCCATGACTGCCACCTGCTCCTCAAGCAGGAGTCATGAGGCCGGGAGACACCCGCCCAGATTATGCACTGGGTCTCTCTGGGCTATGCCAACCCAGCTAAGACCAAAGAACCGTGGAAACCAGAGCCATCCCGTCATACCAGGGTTCCGCTTCAGTCCATTGCTCCCCATCCGGCCCTTCAAGCACGGGGGGGGGGGGGGGGCACAGCATCACATGGGCTGAGATACAGAGCTGGGCAACATCAGCAGATTGATGATATCTCCACCCAGCAGCTTCACGTAGATATTAAACCAAAGTGGAGAAAGTACTGAGCAGTGGACGGGGGGGGGGGGGGGGCAAGACACGGACCGAGAGCGGTCACAGAGGAGGTGAAGCAGGACAACGCCAAGCCCCCTTCCAGAGCCCCGAAGCTGCTCCAGAAGGAGACTGTGACTGATGGTATCAAAGTCTGCCGAGAAGTCCAGGAGAGGCAGGAGAGACTCACTACTTATCCTGCTCCCGCTAGGGGTCATAAAAGCACAACCGATGCGGTTTCCGTCCTATAACCAGGCCTGAATCCTGGCTGGAAGTGGCCTAGTCAGGGGTCTCCAACCTTGGTCACTTCAAGCCTTGTGGACTTCAACTCCCAGAATTCCTCAGCCAGCAAAGTTGGCTGAGGAATTCTGGGAGTTGAAGTCCACAAGTCTTAAAGTTGCCAAGGTTGGAGACCCCTGGTCTAGCTAATCCATTTCATCCAGGAATCTTTGGAGCTGTATACAAGTTCTTTCAGACAGAGCAGAGCTTCCTCAAAGTAATTTACCACACTGTAAGGGTATCATTTAAATTTTAAACTAAAAACAACAGCTAATAAACAACATATACAAATTTAAAAAAATGATTGAAAAATTTGTTTCCAGTTCTTTCCAAATAAGTTCGGTTTCGAACAGACATTAAGTTAGTAAGAAGATGGAGAGTATTTTAGCTGTAAATGTTAAGAAACTTAGTTTATTTTAGCTGTGCTTTGAAATGTAATATTATTCATTCTTTATTGAGACTTCACTAAAAAACGTTATCCTTAAGAATCCCTCACAATAAATTTCAATAAGTATTACTGCCAAGTAGGAAAAAAGAAGAAATAATTATTGTCTCATATCTGGGCAGAGCAAATGTTTTGGAATATTGTATTGAACAAATATTGATGAGTTGAAAGACTCTCATTAGAGAGTTTTTAGGATCCCTTTTCATCTGCTGGACATCCCCCTCCCCCCAAATCCAACTGTCAACAAAGACAATGCAAAAAGCTTGGACAACCAGGTAAGAGCTCAAAGGCATCTCCTTAATGCAGCTCAAAAGAAAGTACGAAAGAATTTCAACGCACACGCAGAGCTCACCTTTTGCAAGCAGATTTTTCAGTTAATAACTCCGGAGACACGTACTGTGCTGTCCCTACAAAGGAGTTTGCTCGGGCTAAAACAAGAAATACAGAAGTAAGGGAGGGCGCTTCTCAAGGCAGTGCGACTGTTCAGTGGAGTGAAAGATACATGATTACACACCTTGTTTGCTATCTGCAGACAATATTTTCGCTGTCCCAAAGTCCGTAATTTGAATATGCATCTCTCCATTTAACAAGATGTTTTCCGGCTTCAGATCCCTAGAAAAGGCAAAATATGCTTCTGTGAACTGGTCATCCCTTCCTCCCCAGGGAAATGTTTAGCTCCCCAATGCAATGTCCAGCATTCAAAGTGACATCAAAAGAGAAAGTGCTCTCTATATTGTTGCAGTAGCATCAGGAAGATTACATTAGTAAGAAGCAAGCCAGAAAAGGTTTAGTAGGCACGGAGGACCCAGCGCTTAAACGCTTTCAACAGTAAATTCCATTTGAAAAACTTTTACTGCAAGATAGAAAGAAACCAAACCCTGGAAAAAGGTGCAGGCGTACGTGTTTGAAAAATGACTTGAAGTATCATTTATGATATAAAAAGGACGTTGCTGCTTGAAAGAATCCACTCACTAAGCACGATGCAACCTTCTTTTTTGTTTTGCTTGGGCTTCTAGGCCGTGCTGCCTCCTGGCTGTTGCCTGGACTCCTGGGAGCAGCACCCCCGGTTTTCTTAGCCAAGGGTTTCAGCAGGGACTTGCCATGGCTCCCTTCCTAGGGCTGAGGAGGAGTGATGGGCCCCAGGTCGTCCAGCTAGCTTTTGTCTCTAAAGCAGAATTAGAACTCATGGTCTAGTCGGATGACTAAACCATACCACTAAACTGGCTTTCTTAATGCAATTTTAGCAGCTTCAAACTGAGGAGGAAGTCCCAATCTTGATAAAGGAATAGTCCCCACTTACAAGTTAAAGTATTCAAACTATATAACATGGAGACCTTAATGAAAGATTTGAAACTTTCTGTAGAGTTTTAAATTATTGCAAGTTCTCTCAGCTGAAGACAAGCAAATCCTGGAATACAATTCAAGTGACATAGCTTCAGGAACTTCATGTGTCTTACAGAAATACATGAAACTTGAATTAACCTCAGCTTTTTTTTTTTTTTTGTTATTTCACAGACAAAGTCATCCACCAGAGAATTTGGGGAACAGGGAAGAGTTACTAGAAGAGGGAGGGAGGGAGGGAAGAGGATGAAGAGGTAGGCAAAGCAAGGATAAGAAAGGGAAAGCGGAAGACAGGATATAAAAGAAATCTAAAAGCTAGCTTAAAGCTCCACCAAATTTGGGGAACAGGAAAGAGTTATTAGGAGATGGCTGAAAAAGGGAAGGAAGGAAGGAAGGAAGGAAGAACAAGTTAAGACAAAAAACCTGAACTCTGAATGTGGCTAATGAGCTGTGTCTCCTTGTCTACCGTATCATTTGCAATATTTGACAAGCTCTGCAATTCGGGACAGAGCTGGCTCCTCAAAGCACTAGGGATGCAGGGATAAACCCAGCATCCTGCAAGCTCCATACTGACTGCAGCCACACAAGCCCTCTGGGCATGGAACAAGTAACAGTGAGGCAAGCACTTTACGTAGGCGTTTCCTTTCCTGTAGTGGGCAAGCAGAAAAGGCCAAAGAGATCAAGAAAGCCAAGGCAGTGCAGAGACCCCCCTCAGCTTCAAAAGCAGGGATGTCCCCGTGGGCAAAGGGGATGCTGAACCGGAAGAGACAGTTCAAAGCCTCCACCAGCAGCGGCTGGGAAGGAGACTCCCCAAGGCCGCCTCCTTATACAGTCCCACGATAGAGAAGTAACCCGACAGACCAAGGGATCAGGAGGTGCATCAATTCAGAATACATTACCTATGGATAATGCCCTTTCCGTGCAAGTACTCTAACGCAGCCACAATTTCAGCAGTATAAAACCTCGTACATGTCTCATCAAACGAACCGATCTTTCGGATGTATTTTAGAAGCTCTCCGTTTTTAGCATAACTGAGACCAAAATCTGAATGCCAAGTTAAGAGTTATTTCTACAGGATGATCTAGACACAACAAGCATGTATTTGGAGACAAGGCTAAAGAGAAAGCCACCAGATTGGAAAGAAGGCCATCAGGGGCCACAGCTAGTAGGCAGGAAGGAGTTTTACTAGCCTTTCAGGCGCTTTCCTTGAGTTAGCTTCCTAAACTAGCTATTAATTAGAGCTACTCCTTCATTTAGTACCAATTTCCATTGTAAGTCATTGCGGCCATAAGTCAAGTCAGACCCAAATTTTAGGACAATTTTTATAGTAGCTGTTAAGCAAATCATGTGGTAACTAAGCAAACCCAGCTTCCCCAATGGGCATTTTCCATGGAAATCAGCCCCCACCCCACCCCCAAAAAGGGTCACAAATAGCAAACACGTGACCGTGGAAGGCCACAACTGGTTGCAAGTAGGAGCTGCTTGCCTGGCAGCTGAATTGCAATCCTATGACTGTGGGTTGGTTTGGCAGATTGTAAGTCATTACTTCCAAGGCTTCTGTAACTTTGAGCCACGGTTACATGGTCATAGGTTGAACTACCTGTGAAACAGATATTTCAGTTTTTTTAATATTCTCCATGACAGAACCGGTGCTCTCCGATTCCTGCAACCTGTCAGAGGTGGCTCTGAAATCTTAGGAATCCCATTCTGCCCTTAAAACCATCAAGAATGCCAACAAATAGTTTGATAATTCAGAAAGTTCTTGACTGCGCTGAAATGGACCTACTTACACAAAAACGTAGGGATAAGGTGGGCTCAAAATATACTACAGCTTGGGAAAAATGGTACAACTGGATGAAGGAGAAAAACCAGGAAAAGATAACGATTTGAAAAATGAAGTGGTTAAACTAAGAGTATATACCAAAAATAGAAAATGAATATTAGTAAAATTATTTTCAATAAACGATCACACCGTCTTAGCTGATAAGAAATATATATGTTTTATGTCAATATCTGTATTTGTATACTGGTTTCGTTTGCAATGAAACATTGTACCTTATACATTGTATATATTTTTCTTTTTCTTATTTTAAATATATTTTAAAAAACCATCAAGAAGCTCCTGAGATTCAGCATTCAGCACACACACACACACACACGGAATTCCGGTTCAGACACCGTTCCAAATTTGCCCACAATTTTTACGGCCCAATAGGAGACAGGAAAGGATACAGAGCTTTTCTTCGTCTTGAAATGTGAAGTAGAGCTTCACAAAGAAAGGGTGATCCAGGCGGGACATCACATCTCTCTCCCTGGTCACGTAGGGGACCTTATTCTCTTTGATGATATGGCGCTTCTCTAGAATTTTAACTTTTAAACAACAGGCAGGTTACTAGAAATTTGGGCCTCGATCAATGAATCCCACTCTCTGCTTTGACCAAGTGCAACAGTCGCACCCTCCAGCATGCGTGTCAAAGTGGCCACATCACGTTGCCATCACCTGACGTTTCATGGCATTTTCCCTTCGCAGAGCTGGGGTGGGCATGGCCTGTGTGGGCCTCCAGTTTGACACCCCTGCCTTACAGCAACACCAGGTGTAACTTAGAGGGTCATCCACAAACTACAACCGAAGAAGCAAGTGATACTCACTGGCATATTCTCGGGAGGTGGTCAATTCTCTGGCCAGGACAACCTGTTTTTAAAGGAAAGAGAAACCCGGTTACATTCGAAGCATGTGACAAGCCCTTGGAGGCAAGGCTGGCGCATTCTTGTAGAGCCAGGTGTTCTCTATCTGGAGGCTGTCACCATCAGGCCTGACAAAGGGATTAAGCACACTCTAAGGCCTTGCTGAAGGGTGCCTGGTGAGGTTTGGTATCTAGAGGGCATCAGTAGACACACTATGCTTACAAAATGAGTACGGAAAAAATATCAGCCAGTTGCTCTCCCTTGTGAGTCCGACCCAGACTGCTCAGCCAGCCTTACAAGGTGCTTCTTTGAGTGTTTTGCATGCTCAGATCCAAAACCTTATAGGCATTCGTAGAAATCAGGTGCCTGAAGAAAATGCAGTGCTTTTGGGAGGAAAAATAGGAATGGGAAGCCAGGGAGAAACGCAAAATGTCAGCCTTCCAACCAAACTCTCCATTGCAATTCAGAACTCAGAGACAAAGTCCATCCAAGTATGAAATGATTTGAGAAGTCATATTGGCACACCTGGGAAATCCCGAATCTGAAATCCTGCATTTCCCCCTGCTATATTAAACTCACACCCAGCCAGCCCCCTTGTGATGACCCTCAAGTCACTCTCTCCAATCCACCTCCATTCTGAACTCCAAACTCCAGCGACTTGGCCTTGAGCTCTGGCGAAAGAATTCTGTTGTGGCAATCCTCCCTTCTCCCTTCCCTTCCCTTCCCACAACTACCCATCCTCCTCCCTTGCGGCAGCCCCAAATCCGATTCAAGGTGGATCCGAGGCCGACACGAAGTCTGTCTAATGTGGTCAGGCTCTCAGTGACCTAAGCACACGTGTCCCCAAGCGCAAAGGCCTGGAGAAAGGCACAGCTGACTTGGCCTTTGCGATCTTGGCAGGAACAGACCGGACCTCCAGCCCTGGCTTATCAAGGGAGACCGAGTGGAGCAAGAGGCCAGTTTTAAGTTTCTGGGTGTTACCCTAAAAGAGGACCTGACCTGGGGGGCTCACATTGCAGCCCTGGTCAAAAGGGCCCAGCAGAGACTATGCTACCTGAGGCTTCTCAGGAAACAACAACTGAATGGAAAACTGCTGGGGACCTTCTACCGCTGCACCACAGAGAGTATCTTAACTTCCTGCACACCTGTGTCTGGTTTGCCAATTGCACAGGGGCAGATAGGGCAGCACTCCAGAAGGTTAACGTCATAGCCCAGAAAATCCTGGGTTGCCCTCTCCCCTCTTTGGAAGAGCTTTATAGCTCCCGCTGCCTTAAGAAAGTTCAAAACATCCTCAAAGATCCATCTCATCCTGGGAACCCCCTTTTTTTTTTTTTTGAACTATTACGATCTGGCAAACGGTACAGGACAACAATAAAAACAAGGACAAACAGGCTGAAAAACAGCTTCCATCCCAGGGCAGTAGCTCTGTTGAATTCTACTGTATAGTGCAGTGTTGATGTGGTGTTGGGGGTTTTCGGTTCAATGTGTGGAGTGTGAAGGACGGGGTTTATTGTCATGGTCATGATGTGCACTGAAGATGGTGTTTGAGTTCATTGTACGAGGTGCAATGACAATAAAGTAAACGTAAACTACACTAAACATTGCGGGTACAAAGGCAAGCGGCTGCCACTGATACTCACTGTGGAAAAAGATCCTTCCCCGAGAATCTTCCCAAACTTAAAGTCCTCTGGGCGTTTCTTTCGAGGCTGTGGAGGCTGTTGCAAGGTGCTCTCCATATTCAGTTCCTGTCTGCTGCCACAGGCAGCAGCAACAGGTTGAAGGCTGGAATCCACCTGGTTCCTCACCATTGATGGAGATGAGCAGGAACATAAAGCCACACTGGACTGGATAGGAACAGCATCATACTGCAAAGTAGAAAGCACACTCAAGGCTGTGGCCCGTAATCGATCAACGGTCACTAGACAAAAATGGCCAAACCACGAAGCACTGCCTGTAAGGAACTTGGCAGGCCCCGTCTGTCATTTTGCACAAGCTCACAGGGCCTGAATGGCAACGGCTCAAGTCAGAGGTGATCTCTGGGGCCTAAAATGTCCTCCTCTGGCTTAGGGTTCAAGTGAGGCACCCAGTGTCCTCCCTCTTCTTCATCCCTTTCTTTCGTTCTCTGCCAACAGAAACTCTGCTTTCTAGAGGATACTGAGTAAGCTCAGTCCTCTGTGTTGACCAGACTAGAAACTCAGAGCTTGACTTTTCAGTAGTCATACTCGAGTTCCAGCCCTGCCTGTACTGGGCTTCTCATTTGCCTGCTAAAAGGAGTGATTGGCCGAAAGACTCTGCAACACCAACAGCTGAGGGTGCTGGGCACTTTGGATGACACCGAGAGGCTTCTAAGACATGGAACTGCAAACTCAAGAAGCAGCAGCAGCAGGAAAGGGCCAAAGGCTCTCTCTCTATGCTCCTTGAAAAGAGAGCCAGACAGATGCCCTCATAGAGCACCATTTGAAAAGCTGCCGGAACAAGAAGCCCCCAAAGATTCCCCTCAAAGAATAACCACCACCGCTCAGGAATTCTCTCCAAAAACGCCCAGCAGTTTGCTAAAAATGGCTGCTCCTCACTTACAAAAGATCAGTCCTCCCGGCTTGGTAGCTCAGAAAAAGCCCAAAGTGCTTCCGGTCCGGTGAAAGATTTGTGAGCAGGACCTGCAGGGACTGACACCTTCTTTCAGCTGCCCATGAACACAAGAGGGGCACCTGCAATCTTCTTTCCCTCCTCGCTTTCCTTCTTATTTGGATCCTGGCAGAGTTACCTATCAACTAGTACTTGACTTGTACTAAATGTTGTACTAAACCTGAAAGATATTACTCTCTACTTAATACCGTATACACACCCACCCACCCACACCCACGGGGCAGCCTGGTACTCATTGTTAATTGGTTCCTGGAGTCATGATGAGTACCAAACTACTTTCCCCGAGTTCCTTAATCGAAGCCTTGCGGTCCACTGTTGCCTGGCAAAGTCTGCTTTAGTCTGCTCTCCATGAAAGCTGCTTCCTTAATATGCAGCCATGTCGTTTCTGGAGGATTTTCTTCCACACCAGCTCAGACTGAACCAGTGGATTTACTTGGATCTTAGGGATTTATTTAGAAAAACCTAGCGGCTTCAGAGCCACATATAAGTATGAGAGATACCCACCCATTTGCTATTTAAGGAAAAGACAAGCAACTTCAATGAAGAGGCTCATTTAGACAACTATTGTCCATCACCAGAAGGGGCTCCAGAAATTAAAAAGCTTGTGCAGGAGACAGCTTTCTCCATCACCTCTCAATAACCAACCGGAAATGTTCCCGGGGAATTCATGAAGTGCTCTGACCAATAAGTTGCCATTGTTCTCTGCTTCTTCTGCAATTCAGTTGAGACCTTTGCAAAGCTAGAGTGCGTTTCTCAAATACATTCCTCTAGAAGTTACAAGAAAAAGTTCTTGTGTACTGAATAATATCAAGGTGAATATGTATATTTGTGTTTGATCCAAAATCATTTATGCCCCCCTTTCACTGAAAGTATAGATGGCCCAATTAAAACAAACACTCAACAAAAAGGGGCCAGGAACACACAAAAAAAGCTTCCCAAATAAGAGTTAACATTTTTCATAAATAGAGAAGCAACCTGAATTAATTCCTGAGCAGGGAAACCAAAGGCAAGAGGGGGGGGGGGACAGACCTTCCATCCTTTTGCACCATCGTTCCTTAACCCTGTGGTTCTCAACTTTCTAAGTAAGTGATGCCCATAGCTACCAAAGGCTGACCACTCCTAGCCTAGAATAATGTTCCTATAGCATTCTAGATAGTTTTTGCCCACTCTACAAACTGCTGGGTTCTTTCCCCTGAAAAATGTCTTCTATCACCAACACATTATTTTTTTCGCTTGGGGGAGTCTCTACTTTTCCCCCTGTCATCAGTATATTTGATAATGTTCCTTCTCCAGATGTCTGTGTGTGCTTTCTTCCAGGGGTAGGATATGAAATCGATTGCTCAGCTCCAGTGGGGGTGGATTGGACTGAACTGCAGGGTTTGTGTGATGACCCATAGTCTCTCAAAATAACCCAAAACCCAAAACATACATTAAAGTCCAGTAAGGCCTTCAACTTAACTTCACTGTTTTATTAGGCACAGTTTAAAGTCACAAAAGTAAATAATGAGGCAAAAAGAGAACCAAAACAAATCGCATTGACGAGAGTTCCGAAGCCAGCCAAGATAACTAATCATAAACTCCAGGAAAATAACCAAGGAGAGACCATGGGAAGAACGCCAGCAAAGATAAACCTCTTTCAAAGTAAACAATAAACTTTGACTCCAGCAATTCTGACTACGCAGTTACAAACTTATATACATAGCTCCCAGCTGCAAGCCACGAGGAGGATCTCCTCATGAGGAGTAATCTCCTGAGTAGACCTAGCTTTTCCCTAATCCTCTTCTCCCTGCATGACCTAGGATGGATAGGGGATGGGCCTGGATCCTCCTGATTGCTCAGCCAGCCTCTGCCCTACCCCAGCCTCCTCCACCACCTCTGGAGCTACACTCCCACTCCCTGTTGGCTGTTCCTCCTCTTCCTCAGAGTCAGTCTCCACCAGGGTCATGACACTATCCCCCCCACCCCACAGGGCCCCCTCCCCTGGGACCAGGCAGATGAGGACGTTGAGGAAACCAAGTGTGAAAGTCCTGGACCAAGCAAGGAGCATGAACATCAGTGGCATCGACCCAGGGGAAGTCCTCCGGTCCATAACCTTTCCATGCCACCACATACTGAAATCGGCCTTGCAACTGACGTGAATCTCGGATGCTATTTACTTCATACTCCTCCTCTCCCATAGGGGCTGGCTGTGATGGAGCCGGTCTATACAGAATGTCGGCCAAGGCAGGGACTAACAGGGAATGATGAAAAACAGGATGGATACACATGGTCCGTGGCAGGGAGAGGCAATAAGCCACAGGATTGATCACCGCCTCAACCGGAAAAGGTCCCAAGTAACGGTGATCAAGATTTTTCGATGGTCGCATTGCTGGTAAGTATCTGGTAGAAAGCCAAACCTGACTGCCTTCCGCTAAAGGCAGAACATCGTGACGATGTTGGTCTGCAAACCGTTTATAGTCCTCCTTGGGTCTCTCTAGTTGTTTGCAGACCATGTTGTACACGTCTTTTAACTCCTGCAAGAACGTATCCACTGCCGTAACTGGGGAATCAGACGGGGCTAAAGGGAAAAGTCGTGGATGAAACCCATAGTTAGCAAAGAAAGGGGACACACGGGTGGATGCATGTTGAGCATTGTTATAAACAAATTCTGCCACCGGCAGCACTTCCACCCAATTGTCTTGTTGACTATTGCTGAAACAGCGGAAGTACTGCTCCAAAATAGCATTCACTCTCTCTGTCCCCCCATCAGTTTCAGGGTGATGAGCAGATGACAGACACGCCTGAACCTGCAGTTTCGCGAGTAAGGTCTGCCAGAAGCGTGCAGTAAATTGTACCCCCCGATCTGATACCATGCGGTCTGGTAACCCATGCAACAGGAAAACATGGGAGATAATTGAGCCGTTATCTTGGCTGATGGAAGACCCGCACACTGAATAAAGTGGGCCATTTTAGTCAACATATCCACTACCACCAAAATGGTTGTGGCACCATTCGATGGTGGTAACTCAACGATGAAATCCAATGAAATTGCCCCCCACAGTCGTTCTGGCATGGGCAAGGGCTGCAAGAGATCAGGGGGTACACCAGGAGCATACTTGGCTTGGTGACAGATCCCACAGGACACCATATATCCCGACACATCATGTTTAAGTCTTGGTCACCAAAATGTCCTAGATATGACGTACAGTGTGTTGAACACCCCAAAGTGTCCCACCGCCGGACTATCATGACATTGACGTAGGATAAGGCCACGAAGAGGACCTCCAGGCACGTAAATGCGATCACGGAACCTCAACAGTCCCCAATATACACCCAAGGAGTCTCTTGTCTCCCATTCTCATCCAGTTCTCAACGTCGAGCTGCCACAAATGGGTCCTGCTGCTGCACCTCCTGAATCCTCACTTGGAGGTCCACAGGTTCCTCGGTGGCCGCAAACCACTCCAACGGAATCACCGTCTGGGGCAAGATTTTATCCTCCCTTTGGGTATACTTGGGCTTCTGAGATAGGGCGTCGGTGCGTTGATTCCCTCCACTCGGAACATAGGTCACCCGGAAATCAAATCGATCAAAGAATAAGGACCATCTCACCTGACGCTGGTTCATCGTCCGAGCTGTACGTAGATGTTCCAAATTGAGATGATCTGTCTGAACTTCGATTTGGTGACAAGCCCCCTCCAGGTGGTGCTGCCAGGTCTCAAAAGCGACCTTAACCACCAATAGCTCCTTGTCCCAAATCAAATAGTTGTGCTCTGGAGCCGATAACTTCCGGGAATAATAAGCACATGGGAACAAAGTGCCTGCGGGAGCATAAGCCTGGAGGAGCACCGCACCAACTTCACTGTTTTATTAGGCACAGTTTAAAGTCACAAAAGTAAAAAATGAGGCAAAAAGAGAACCAAAACAAACCGCATTGACGAGAGTTCCGAAGCAAACCAAGATAACTAATCATAAAATCCAGGAAAATAACCGAGAGTCCATGGGAAGAACGCCAGCAAAGATAAACCTTTTTCAAAGTAAACACTAAACTTTGACTCCAGCAATTCTGATTACGCAGTTACAAACTTATATACATAGCTCCTACCTGCAAGCCACGAGGAGGATCATGGTAATCTCCTCTTGAGTAGACCTTTCTTTTCCCTGATCCTCTCCTCCCTGCGTGACCTAGGATGGATAGGGGATGGTCCTGGATCCTCCTCTGATTGCTCAGCCAGCCTCTGCC